TCCTGCAGAGCAGCTGGTGGATTCAAATCATATGCTACTGGGTTGGCACTGATAGCCTAGTGATAAGAAGCTGCATTGCAATTCTGAAGGCATGTGGTTCAAATCCACCCGCTGCTCCATGGGAGAAGGATGGATAAGCTCCTCCCGAGCAAGTAACTGCCTCTGAAAATAGGTCAGAGGGTCAACCCAAAGTTACCCTGTTCAAATCTACCACCTGCTTGACGGCGATTTATGTTGTTGTGGTTAGGTGCTGGTGACTACAACTCATAGCGACCCTGTGAAGAACAGATCTGCACCTTATCTTACCTTGTGCCATCCTCACACTTCCTAACACACTAGATCCATAGTGTCAGTCACCATTTCAATCCACATAGTTGGTTTTTCTCTCCTTCACTGACCCTCCACCCATCCAAGCATCATGTCCCTTTCCAAGGAATAGCCCCTCCTAGTAACATGCTGAAAATATGTGAGGCAAAGTATCCTCATTCTCACCTCCAAAGACACTCTGGCTGCACTTTCTCCAAGAAATATTTGTTTTCCTGTCCATTCATGGGATGTTCAGACCATGCTCTTCTCCAACACCACAGCTCAAAGGTATCAATTCTTCTGTCATCTTTATTCAATGTCCAGCTCTCAGATGCACTGCAAGTGATCAGAAAGACCATGGCCTGAATTAGATACACATTAGTTCTCAAACTGACATCATTACTCAGTATTTTGGAGAGGTCCCTAACTGCAGACTTTTCTAGTGCATTGCATCTCCTTATTTACTGATTGCTGGTACTAAGGGTGTTACATGTGGATCCAAGAAAGAAGTTGTTGACAGTTTCAATCTCCTCTCCATCCATCATGTTGCCTATCAGTCCAGGGGTAAGAATCTTTGTTTTCTTGACATTGAGATGCAATCCATACTCATGGCTGCATTCCTTGATCTTCTGCAGCAAGCACTACAAGTCCTCCTCACTTTCAGCAAGCAAGGTTGTGTCATTTGCATAATTCAGGTTATTGATGAGTCTCCCTCCAATCCAGATGCCACATTACTCTTCATGGAGTCCATTTTCTTGAATAATTTGCCTACCATACAGATTAAATAGTTCTGGAAGGAGAATACAACCCTGACATACTCCCTTCTCAATCCTACACCATGCAGTGTTCCCCTGCTCTGTTCACACAATACCTCCTGGTCCAGGTATAGGTTTCTCATGAGCACAATTAAGTCCTTTGGGACTCCCACTCTTCTCAGTGTCAGCCACAACTTGTTATAATGCACAGTCAAATGCCTTTGCATAGTCAATATATCACAAATATACATTCTTCTGATATACTTTTAGCCAGGATCCATCTGACACCAGCAACAATATCCCTGATGCCATGGCCTCTTCTAAATTTTGCTTGAACTTCTGGCAGTTCCCAATCTATGTACTGTTCTATGTAGCCATTTTTAAAATCATACTCAGTAGCGTTTTGCTTGCATATATTAATAATATTGTTTGATAGTTTACATTCTGTTGGATCACCTTTCTTAGGAATGGGAACAAATATGGACCTTTTCTAATTTGTTGGCCAGAAGCTGTCCTCCAAATTTCCTAGCATAGACTGGTGAACGCATCTAAGACTGCATCTATTCATTCAAACAAGTCACTTGGTACTCATTGATCCCTGGGGCCTTACTTTTTGCCAATGCCTTCAATACAGCTTCTATTTCCTCCTTTAGCTCCTGTTCCTATACATCGTGAAACTTTTCAGATCAATCAGTTCTTGGTACAGTGATTCTGTATATTACCTCCAACTTCTTTTGATGCTGAGTCATTCAGTATATTGCCCATAGCATCTTTCAATATTGCAATTTGAGGTTTAAATTTGGTTTTCAGTTCTCTCAGCTTGGGAAATGCAGTGAGTTCTTCCCTTCCCCTCTCCAATTCTAGCTCTCTGCACAACCCACTATGGTACTTTTCTTTGTCCTCTTGAATTGCCCTTTGAAATCTTCTGATCAGCTCTTTTATGTTATTCCTTTGTTTGGCTTCTAGATGCTCCAGTGCAATATTTAGAGTCTTTTCTAACATCCATTTTGGTTTTTCTGTCTCTTCTGTTTTTGTAATGAACTTTTGTTTTCTTCATGGATGATATCCTTGATACCATTCCACAATTCATCAGGTTATCCATTAATGGTGTTCAATGGTCCCAACCTATTCCTAAGATGATCTTGAAATTCAGATGGACCTACAACCAGGAGAAGATAACATAGATGAATGGGACCTTCTAAGACTCAAATCCCTATGCACATCCAAAAACTTCTCCAGTAGGGTAAAAAGGAAAGCCACTGACTGGGAAAAAGTATTCGGTAATAACATATCAGATAAGGGACTTATATCCAGAATTTATGAAATACTTGAGCACCACAACAAGATAAAGGTAAATAATCCAATAGAAAAATGGGCACAGGATATGAACAGGCACTTCACCGAAGACGACATTCAGATGGCTAACAAACACATGAAGAAATGCTCAAAATCCCTAGCCCTAAGAGAGATGCAAATTAAAACAACTATGAGATATCATTTCACCCCAGTCAAAATAGCAAAATTTAACAGAACAGCAAGCAACAAATGCTGGCGAGGTTGTGGAGAAACTGGAACCCGGATTCACTGTTGGTGGGAGTGTAAAATGGTGCAACCCCTGTGGAAAGCAGTATGGCGCTTTCTCAAAAAGTTGCAAATAGAGATACCATTTGACCCAGCAATTCCACTACTGGGAATATACCCTGAAGAGACCATAGCTGACATCCAAGCAGATATATGCACACCCATGTTTATTGCAGCTTTGTTCACAATAGCAAGGAGTTGGAAACAACCTAAGTGCCCATCAACAAACGAATGGCTAGAGAAGCTGTGGTATATTCGCACAATGGAATACTATGCTGCATTAAAAAACAAGGAACTCATGCAATATTATTCAAAATGGTTGACTCTGGAGAACATTATGCTGAGTAAAATATCCCAGTCACAAAAGGACAAATATTACATGATGCCACTGTTGTAGAATGGGACTGTCCTTGGGGTTGGGGAGAGACTGAGTAAGATGGGCTCAATAATGTATACAGCACTGAAACAGAAGAGGGAGAAAACTGTTTAAAAGAGATATATAACTAGGTATTTCTGTCATCACAGGAGACTAGAGCGAGGGCTACATGGTGGAGGGGACCTGGGGGAGGGTTTGTAAAACAATGAAAGAATCTTTTCTTTTACTTTTCCATAATTTTTGACTCATGTACTTATAACTTGTCAAATTTGTGTCTTCTAGGTTGCAACACTCCCATGATACATCTTCAAGGATATGAACATGTACGGCCAAGCACAATCAATAAGAGTGCATCCAAATTCCAAAATCAATCTCCATAATAGTCTATGTGTTTCCTACTGCCAAAGGGGCCCTTTAGAGTAGTGAGAGAAGATCTTCACCCTGAAACCCACAGCGTCCCTTTTCAGCAGGAAGTAGCTAAGAGAATACGCCATCCCCTTTTCCTTATGACTCAGGGTGAAGTCTCTCTCAGGGAGGAGTGATAGGGAATGGCAAAGGACACACTGACAAAGAAGATTAATCAGAACTGGCTTTGACAAGCACTGTGGCATTTGGACAAGAACAAACTGGGAGGAGGGTAGAGAGAATAGTGCAACAATGAATGAATGGAAACCCAAAATCTCTGTAAATGTTTATGAACATTAATAAAATATAATTATAGGGAAAAAAAAGAAATTCAGATGGATGCCAACTTATAGTCTCTGAAAACCAGCTGGAGGGCCAGTCAGTTCTGACTTGAGGGTAACAATACTTGAAGCCTTAACCAACAGCCTCCACCTCCGCACCCTGCATCATTTTCCCCTATTCTAATCATTTGTCTATGTAATATATTTTATGTACTAATTTCCAAAGACGTCAAAATGCTTCTCCTTACCTTCACCACATATCCCCATTTACACCCCTTTTTCCTGCCTCTCAGAACCTCTCCCCAGGCCACCTGTCTGTCCCAGGCTGGACAATGGGAATTATTTAAGATTGCTGTTCAGATCTCTGTCAAGAGAACAATGGGCCAAGAGGAGAGGACGGGGACATCCCGCCACCCCACAAAGAAAAATGCTGCCTTTAGGAGATGTGATCGGTTAGGTCAGCACCCAACTTCGAGAAGGGTGCTCCTCCACTCAGCCCCCCACGTCAGGGCTCAGGACAGCGCTGCACCCCATAATCCCGCCCAGCCTCCAACAACCTCAGACCTCGGGGTATGGGGCCCCCTGAGCTTTCAGGGTGAAGGGGTGTTTGCAACCCACTGACACCCCCAACCCCTCCAGCTTATGGTCAAGCTACAGAAACGACAAGCCCATCCCCCGTGGGCGGACACGGGGCGCTTCCCTAGCGCCAGCGGCCTGAGCGAGGCTCTCACCTCAGCACAGGCCCGACCTGCGCTCACCACACGCGGGTACGGGGGCCGGCTGGGGTGGGCAGTGCGCGCTCTGACCGCTGGACTGAGTGACCGAGTGGCATCGTGGGCCAACTACGTCAGGACAGCGCCAAAGCCCACGCCTGAGGATAGCAGCTGGCCGACTGAGGCCAGGGTCCTCGGCCTGCTGGCCTGCTGGCCGCCAGGCGGGAGGGCCGAGAGGGCCTGGGCGTCTCAGGCGACGACCACGAGCTTCCCGCCTCTACTCGCGCGGAGGACGCCGGGAGCGGGCGGACGCCGCGGGCGCGCGTGCGCACAGCCCTGGGCTCGCCTCCGCGCTCTCACGTGGCCCCTCCTTTGGGCCCCTCCCTGTGGTAGGCGGGGCCGAAGACTGAGCGTGCGCAGTGAGGCCTCTTCGCGGCCCCGCCCTCTTCACTTGGGCCGGGGCACGCCTCCGCGGTGCACGTCACGCGTGCGTGCGTGCACGCCTCCGCGCGGTGCCCATCACGTGGGTGCGAGCGCCCGTGTTCACGCCGCGCTCCTACAGCTTCGGTGCAGAGTGCCGGCGCTATGGCTGCTGCTGTGCCCCGTGCGGCTTCCTTCTCCCCACTGCTTCCCCTCTTCCTCGGCCTCCTGCTCCTCTCTGCCCCGCAGGGCGGCAGCGGCCTGCACACCCCTGGTGTCCTTCCCCTGGATACTGTCACTTTCTACAAGGTAACGCGGGCGGGGGACACGGCACGGGTGCACCCCGCGTGTCGGAGGCAGTGCGCACCCGTGGGATGACCGAGAGGAGGAGGAGCGGGAGCAGGATGTGGTCTCAGCCCACCTGTGCGGTACGGTCCATCCTCCTAGGAGCCGGGAGGGACCCGGTGTAGGGTCATTGATAAGGCCGCAGGCCGTACTGGCCTCGTACCTACCCTTATACCATTTATACTTATTACCCCCTTTTTGAAAGACATACAGAGCTGCAGCGACGGGAGCCGGCTGGTCCAAGGGAGAGGGCGGTGCCGGCGAGGCCCAGGTGGGAGCCCTGAGGGCCAGCTAGGCGGGCGGGGTGGCACACTCAGCCTGTCCCCTCTCTTGGGTTTCTGTGGCCGTGTTCCCCTGGTGTGGACTGCACACTGCAATATGCAAACCATGGTCAGATCGCCTGCATGCCCTTGGAAAGGACCAGTGTTGAGAAGCAGTTTCGGTTCAGCCATCCTGGGAGCAAAACGAGTGCTATCAGGCAGAGCTTGCCACGGATTCACCACCACGCTCCCCTCCTCCTTCATCGAATTTTGGGTGCTGGCCTGGGAACTTGAAAACATTGGCGCTTGACTGTAGCGCTTCAGCCCCAGCCCCACCCCTCTAGCACATTCGTACTTGCCCATGAGATGGGCAAACCAAGTGTAGAGATAGCCAGTGATGATCTTTTGTCCCCTTAAAGGGAACTGAAACCAAGAAGTAGAGCTCTAAATCTTCCCCTTTTCAAGAGTTCCGGTTGTGGATTGGGACACCTGTGGCGACTCTAGTTTCAAGAGTTTTTTAAAGTGTGGGGTTGGCTGGTGGTTTATCAGGCACACCTTGTGCTTTGAAAAGGCTTTTATTGGAACAGTGACCCACACATCCACCTCTGCTCCCACTTCCAATTCCATAACCCACAGTTACGGGATCACATTACAGACTTAGTCTCACGGGAGACATGGTGCCAGAAATTAACAGTGTCTCCTAATCAGCCCCTGCCCTTCCATCTCCATTCGCCTCCCTGCTCTCCAACCTTTCAGACCCTTCTCCATACGGTAGCCTAGGTCCTACTGACCTGACCCTTCTTCCCATCCCCTAAACTCTCTCCCTTGGCCCCTTTGCTCTTTCTGGCCACAGAGACACCTTCCTACCGTTCTTTAAATATCGCTAGCTCATTACAGACTCACACGGTCTTTCCCCCGACTGTTCCTTGTACCTGGAACATTCTTTGCCCCTGGAAAAATCTTTATAAGGCTGGTTATGTCTCATTGAAACGTAGATTAAATGCTACCTCCTGAGAGTCCTCTGTTCCCCTCATTCTAAAGAGCTGGTCACTATCCTATTTTAATTTCTTGGTAGAGCACTCACCACCGATTGGCTTTTTTTCTTGTCTGAGTCCTCCACGAGAATATCATATCGAGAAGTCCACTGGCCAACTTTACCTCCTCACAGGAAGTGCTCAGTAAATGGACTGAATGAAGGAGCAAATGTTTTCTCCCAAAACCTACACATCTTTCTTCACTGTTGAGCAAAAAAAGATTCTCAGTGTTAGCCTGTATAGGAGCCTTTTCTGTGCTGTTTTTCAGTGATTTCAAACAACTATTTCCGCTTTGTTTCGTGCCCTCCATCATCACCAGAATAAAAGGTCCTCTCTGTTTTGTTCACTGTTTAGTTTCTAGCACTAAACTGTGCCTGGCACATGATAAGCTCTCCGTAACTCTCTACTATGTGATTAATGAAGTCATATTTAAAGCAAGGTGTCCTGGTAGGTAGCACGATGGTTAAGGGCTTTCCTCCTAACTGAACAATCAGTGGTTCAAATCCACCAGCTGTTCTCTGGGAGCAAGATGTGGCAGTCTGCCTCTTTGCCGTTCTCTTTGCCTTTTAGGGTTGCAGTGAGTCAGAATCTACTTGAGCACAGTGAGTTTGTTTTTTGGGTTTGGGCTTAAAGAGGTATACTGCAGACAGCGGTGGTGTTCATTCCTCAAGGAGGAAAGGAGAGGTTTCTAAAGCACTGTAGAGATTCAGACTGAGTAAAGAAAGGACCAACAAATTCATGACACACGTGATTCAGGCCCATCAAACCATTCTGCCTTCTACTGTTTGCTGAGAATGGAGAAAGATCAAAGTGGGGGAGGGTCTCAGTTCCATTATGGGACCTCTGTCTGATTATTATTATTCCCCAATGCAGTTATAAGGGGGCCCTCTGGTGGCCTGTTGGCAAGAAGCTGTGTTGCAATCCGAAAGGATTTAAAGGTTTAAATCCCATGAGCTGCTTCATGGGAGAAGGATGGGCATCTGTTCCTGTGTGATTAACTGCCTTTGAAAACCTGCCAGAGGGTCAGCTATGGGTCATTTATGCCTCGACAGTACCCAACAATACAGTAATAAGCAGAGTCCATAACATGTCTGACTGCTAGCCAGACAGCTGACAATCCAAATTCACCAACAGCTCCTTGGGAGGAAACAGTCTCCTCTTGTAAAGACTTACAGCCTCAGAGACTTAGTGGAGGGTGGTTGTGAGTCAAAGTCGATTCAGGACTGTGGGTTTTTTTAAATACAATTATAGGCCCCTATGGAGATAGGCAACTGCCTGGACACACAGCCTCTGTCACCAGAGCCTGCTGGAGATCTGTCCATTCCTCTGTTCCTTCTGGAACATCTGCCACAGCAAGTCATTGTTGAGCACTGAAGATGCAGTGAAACTGGGCAGCCAAGGTCCTTTTCTCCTAGATGGACAGTTGAGTGGGGGGAACAGATAAGCAAATGAGATTTCAGAAAATTGGTTCAACTCTGAAAAAAAGCCGGGAAGGTAATGCAGTGGGGTACAACGGATATGAAGCAGTGCTGGATAGTGTAGTTGGATAAACAGTGTCTGTGGTGAGGCACATCTACACTGAGACCCAAATGCTGAAGAGACAGCCAGCCAGCCATGTGGTCCAGCCTGAGCCTGGACGGACAGCCAGTGAAAAGGCTGAGTTGGGAAAAGGTGTGGTGGGTTGAAGGAAAATAAGGTCAGTTGGACCAGAGGGATGTGATCTGATTAATATTTTAAGTCTTTCTGCTGTTTAATCCTTTATAGCACAGACTCTTATGGAGTACGTGACCCCTTAAAAGATTATCTGTTCTGGTGGCTCCCCCACTTTTCCTGCAATCCCTGTTGTTAGGTGCCATTGAGTCGAGTAAGACTTACCCTGTGAACAAAAGAACTGAACCCTGTCCTTTCGTGCACATCTCTGATAAGACTTTGAGCCCACTGCTGCAGTAACTGTCAGTCCATCTCACTGTGGGTCTTCCTCTCTTTTGCTGACCCTCTGTCCTTCCAAACACAATGTCCCTTTGGAAGGAATAGCTTCTCCTAGCAACATGTCCAGAGTATGAGAGATGAAGTTTCACGGCATTAAAACCAGATATACATCCACACAATCAAGGACTAGCCAAAAATACTAAGTTTGGAGAAGGCACAGTGATAACCTGTGGCTAAAAAAACTGCCGTGATCACAACAAAACAGAAGGGATTGTAACAGAGTTGTGGGAGGAGGAGATGGTCATATCATTGATAAAGGCGGCTAGGTCGATAAAACTTTTGTGTTGAATAGAATCCGTCAGAGGTCCCCAAGGTGCCTCAAGAACTATGACCCAGCATTTCCATCCCTACATACTCAGTTGCCAGAGGAATTAGAAATACATTCAAATACTTGGCGCAGGAATGGTGATGTTGTTGTTGATGTTGCCATTGGGTTGAGCATGACTCATAGCGACCCTATGAACAAAAGGCCTGAAGCCTTTCTATAACTGTCGACATTTATCACAGTTTATAGTTTCCAGAGGCATGTTGTCTAGGAAGTGGATGCCACTGCTGCTTCCAAACCTGTCTTAAACTGGGAGCTCCACCTAACACTGTCCACCATGGGTAACATGATAGCTTGACTATTTATAGTTTTATTCAAATAGTCAAAAGGTAGAAGCTTCCCGGATGTCGATCAGCTGAAGAAGTGAGAGTATGTCGCTGACTGCCGCTCACACAGTTGCGTAGGTTGGTTCTAAATCACAGAGGATCCCCACATGTACCCCTTGGTTTTCAGCAGCTTAGGCTTCTTGGCCCAGGTACATATGGGTGGGTTTGAACCTCTAGCCTTTTGAATAGCAACTGAACATGTGTGCACCATTGAAGGTTAAGCATATGAACAACCCTGGTATTGTTTCTCAGTCACAAGAAGGACTTAAATACTTATTGATAGATGCTGGATGACAGGAATGAGCCTCTAACACATGACGCGAAGCCACTTACATGGTAGATGACTCTTTCTATGAAATGCCCAGAATAGGCAAAGCCATAGAGACAGAAAGATTGCCAGGTCCTGGGAATGGGCAGTGACTTAGTGAATACAGGATCTCCTTTTGGGGAGATGAAAATAGTCTGATGGCCTAGTGGTAAGAATCTGCCCTGCAGTCTGAGAGGCATGCAGTCAGGTCATCGGCTGCTCTGCAGGAGGATGGCAGTCTCCTTCCACTCGATTTCTGCCTCTGAAAACCTGCTGGAGGATCAACTGTGAGTTGGTTCCAACTCCACTATACACAACAATTGCAAAACATCATGAATGTACTAAATGACCTGAATTACAGACTTTAAAATGGTTAATGCCATGTTTTGTGAATTTTACAATTTTGGATAAAGCGGAATGAAATTAAAAAGTCAATTCTTGTGCTGGAAGCATAATGTTCAGAGATTTAGCCAGAGTGGTCTAGGGACAGGACAGTGTCCCAAGCCTGGCCTTGGTGGCAGCTTCCTCTCACTTCTGCTGAAATCTCTGAATTCAAACTCAGGGTTTCCCTAGCTTCCCAGAGCCTTTCCTGTAGTGCCTTCTAACAGGCCTTCTCCTTTTTAAGGTAGGACGTTGGCTTTCTGGTTCACTGTTTACTAAGAAAGGCCTCTTAGGATAGTGGGCATGGCAGGGGCCAGGGTAGGGTGTGCTGAGGGTGTCCTGGCCTTACCTGGGTGCACCTAGAGTTTGTTTTAATCCATGTCTTTTATTATCTGGTTTGTTGAAGCAGTAGGTCAGACAACACTTGCCACAGTAATGTCTATCAAGGTGGCTGGCCATAAGAACTCCAGCACTGCTTTCATCGGAATACTTCATGACTTTACGTGTCATCCTTGTACAGGGACCATGCCAGTCTTCTCTGCTGAAGTGTGCACAGCTCGTTTTTATTCTAGGCACAGCTATGTCTCTGCTTGTTGTGCACAAGTATCTGGTAGGGCACCTGACATGTAACATGCATTCAGTAAATTGGTAAAATGAATCGGTGGATGAATGAATGAATATTAGTTTGTGAGAAGCTGTCTCTCTCATGGACTTGATTTCCATTGTTTCTTAAATAGGGGCCCCTTGGGAAGGGGAATTAGCCCCAAGGGTCTCCGGAACCCCTACTTGCTCAGTTCTGTGCACCCTCAGGTCATTCCCAAAAGCAAGTTCGTCTTGGTGAAGTTCGACACCCAGTACCCCTACGGTGAGAAGCAGGATGAATTCAAGCGTCTGGCTGAAAACTCGGCCTCCAGCGATGATCTCTTGGTGGCCGAGGTGGGGATCTCAGGTATGGACCAGTCCAGGATGAGCGGGGTGGGCAGAGGGAGGGGATGCTAGGCATGAGGTCCCTAACTGTCCCTAGTGGTGTAGGCACGCCCCGGCCTCCTTCATCACAGCCTCCAGGAGGGTTGCAGAGGAGCCCATGGCAAATTTAGCCTGAGCAGATCTGGGGAGCAAAGAGCCTTAGCTCAGCCCTCCCCTCCCACCCCAGACCAACATGACATGTACAACGGGAACTCTTAAGTACTTTTTGCAGGGAGCAGTAATCAGGGTACTAGGAACCTGGAAGACCTCGTGGTTATCACTTCCTGCTCCTTCCCAGCTTTTGTGCCCAAACTGTTGGGGCTTCTACTAATCCAAAAGCTGCCTCTGTCCCAGTGACAGTATCAATGGCCAGCATTTTCTTAGTAGTTCAGTGTCCATCAAGATGTGCACTGGCGTTGCACTCTGTTCTTCACTGAAAACCATCTGGGAAGTAAAACATGTTCTATGTGACACATGGAGCTCCAGGAGCCCAGGTGACTGTGGCCATGGGCTAGGAGAAGCTCATCCTGAGCCCCACCTGAATGTTGATCCCCCCTTGTGGCAGGGGGTCTCACCTAGTTCAGCCTCCTCCCAGCTAGAGTTCAGGTCCCCAGTAAGCACGAATCAGGGCACTTGGATTTGGCCCTAGGAACTTACAGAAAAGACATTAACATGTATCAGCTATTTGTTGTGTGCCACGTCACTGCTCAGTGTGTTGTGTTCTGTTCCGTTATGTGTGTCAGTGGAGTTGAAGAGTGTGCTTCATCGTGGGATGGCTATGAAGGGTATACTGTGGTACTACTGGTATCTAGAGTTACGTGTTCAGAATGACCACTTGACAGCACACATAGACTAAGCAAGGTGCACTGATGGACCAGTGGTAAGCTACGCTGTAAATCTGAAGGCACGCAGTGTGAGTCCACCAGCTGTTCCGCAGGAGGAAGATGGGCATTCTCCTGCCATGGGGATTTATTGCCTCTGAAAACCTGTTGGAGGGTTTCAAATCAGTGGTTCATTAATAATGTATTATTAAGCACATATCTCTGCCAGGTCTTGTGCCTGCATTCTCGTTGGGATAGCCCAGCAGAGCCCATGGGCGCCACAGTCCCCTTTCTAAGTCACAGCCCAGTTAGCCTTTCTAATCCCTCAATACCTTGAGCTTGCTTTTCCCCCCTGCCAATTTTGCACTTGCAACCCTTGATACCCAGTCCATACCTCCCTGATTTTCATGAGGTTGGCACCTTTATGTTCAAAGCCCTCAGCCCCTGTAATGTCTACAGCAGGAACTTGCTTGTCCTTCCATGCTCACTTGAAGTGGCTTTCTTACCCTGTCACATCATTTCATTTTCATGATGGCACTAACCCCTTATGTTTGTTTTCTGTGTTACTTTGTTAAATCTCTTTTCATCCTTTGACTATAAGCTCCTTGGGGGTTTGGGAACCATGAGCTTACTACTCTCTATCACAACTTGATCCTGAACACTTCAGTGTAGAGCACATAGTGAACACATAAATATTCACAAGAATCCCACTTTTGCCATTTGGAAATGACTTAGAGAGTGGTTAACCAACTTGATGAGAATTCTTTGATGACTCGTTAGTACCAAAGGAGAGATTCAAACCAGTCTTTGTGAGTGAGCCTCACTATTACCCAGGCAGGAGTCCTCCCTTTTTGTTCAGGCCCCGCAGGAGTTACCTGCCTGGGTCAGCCCTGGTCCTGCTTCTCATCTCTGATTTCTGTTCACAGATTACGGAGACAAGTTGAACATGGAACTAGGTGAGAAATACAAGCTGGACAAAGACAACTACCCATTCTTCTACCTGTTCCGGGATGGGGACTTTGAGAACCCAGTTGTATACAGTGGGCCAGTGAAGGTTGGAGCCATCCAGCGCTGGCTGAAGGGGCAAGGGGTGTATGTAGGAATGCCTGGTTGCCTGCCTGCCTACGATGCCCTGGCTGGAGAGTTCATCAGGGCCCCTGGGCTAGAGGCTCGCCAAGCCCTGTTGAAGCAGGGGCAGGACAACCTTTCAAATGTGAAGGAGATGCAGAGGAAATGGGCAGAGCAGTATTTGAAGATCATGGGGAAGGTCATAGACCAAGGTGAGGACTTCCCAGCTTCAGAGATAGCCCGGATCACCAAACTCATTGAGAAGAACAAGATGAGTGATGGGAAGAAGGATGAACTCCAGAAGAGTTTGAATATCCTGACTGCCTTTCAGAAGAAGGGGACAGAGAAAGAGGAACTGTGAAAAGGCACTTGGGGTCTTGGTGGGAGTGGGAGGGGAGAAGTGGTACTTTGCCTGAGGCCTGAGCCCTGGATGTGCCAGGACACTGATGAGGATGTGCCTGTGGTCAGGACATGGCTGGAGCACATCTCAGCTGGCTTGTCTAATGCACTGCTGGACAGAATCTGGGCTATGGAATGCACAGCCCTCGCCCCTGACAGGTGTCATTCTTATCCAATTAAAGTCTCTTTTGGTTAAGTGGACCTGAAGCCACTCAGTTTTCTTTTCACATGAGAACTCTGGGATGTGACCTGCTTTTGCCTTGGAATTAGTTTTTCAGTCTAAGCTGGTAGGGATTCAGGTTTGACCCCAAAGGCAGTTCTGACCTGTCCTGCAGTCATGAGCTGGGTGACTGAAAGCAGTGGGTTAGGGTTTATGATGTTATTTATCTTGGCTTGTCTTCATTCAAGAGGGCCAGCTCAGGATTCACCTTTATTAGTTCCCATGGACATTCAGACTCACACAGGGATAGACTGTAGGTGCTAAAATGTGTTACCCATTTTCTGGACCTTAAAATTAAATGGCTGCAGCAGTGAATGAATGGAAACCCAAAATCTCTGTAAATGTTCATTAAAATTATTAAAAAAAAATTAAATGGCAACATGGATGGCCTATGCTGTAATTTTCTTCCATAATCTTTAAGATGTCTAAAGCATGCTCTTGGTAGGAATATTTGTGAAGCTAGATTTTGTTTTTTGGTTGGTGTTGTGTGCCATCAAATCAGATCTGACTGGCACAGGAGGAGATTGCCTCTCCTTCTCCAGTGGAGCATCTGCTGGATTCAAACCTTGCCCCTTCAGGATTGCAACACAGCTTCTTGTCACTATGCCACCAGAGCTCCCTGAAGCTTGATTTAAACAGCTCAGTGATCCAATTCAGTCTCGTTTGAAAGTTGAAAACAAGTCATTGCTTTTCATACGTCACCTTGTCACCATGTTATTCAGTAAGTACCAACCTTAGAAAAGAGTGGAAACGTCACATTGGTTTTCCTGTCTGTTCCTAAGCGGTTCCAGGAACATGTCTTTTTCCAGGATCTGGCAGCTTTACTGACCGTATGTCCAAGCATCTTCCTGTGTGAACTCACTGCCATCTGCTTTAAAGGCCATAGTGCAAGAATATCAGTTCAAAGACTAAGGTGTGCCTGCTGCAAGCCCTGGTGTATTTATTCAGTTGCATCTGAAAGTGGGGACGATGTCTAAGGGAGACTGAAAGAGAACCTATGCATTTGGATTGTAGTGCTGGAGGAAGTGCAACAGGTGTTCCTTAGAGGAGAGGATGGTGACACTTGTGATCAGGAGGAGTACATGCTGGGAAAGATACTGCATCAGCAAGGGAGGAAAGACACTCAATGAGATGGACTGACAGTGACTCCGACAATGGGCTTGAACATCCATAAATGGAAAGGAAGGTTCCGGTCTGTTTGTAGGGTTATTTTGAATTGTCAACTTGAAGGCACTAAAAACAACATCCAAATGATTGCTTTGGGAGAAGAAAACATTCAGTGTTAAGAGAAATGGGAGTTAGGATAAGCAGCAGTTAGGGAAGGGACTTTAAAGGCACCCCCAGTCCTCTCCATTGTGAGAGGAACAAAAAGGAAGGGACAATGCCTGGAGGTCACAGAGGACCCAGATGGGGTATCTGTCATACAGGTATACTTAAGACACGGGGTCCTAGCAAAATCACTTGCATTTTTTGCTTCCCGGCGCATAGAAGTTACGGAGTCCTGGTGGTAGAGTCCATGGACAGTTTTACTGTTGAGCCAAAATCTGTATGCTGTTCTGGCAGCTCAAATCCACCAGTGGTTCTGCAGAACCATAGGCAGGCAGTCTACCTGTGCAGGTTAAACCCTGGGATTCCCACGGGGGACCAATTCTGAATTGGTTCTGGCCCAGAGATACTGAGAGCTGTAGGGGTTTACGGGGTAAAGATTTTGCTGCCCTGCTGACCCCATGGTAATGCAGGTCCTTAGCTAGCTGATGAAACCGTGGAGCCTCAGCTGTGAGTCAGCTGAGGGTTTGTTGTGTGGACTTTTCTGTGGAATATGTGCCTTACGTGTCAGCATTTTAATGAAGCTTTTGAATGACCAAAAGTGAAAACCCAGGTGTGAGCACATGCTCTGGGGAAGATGGGCCAACAGACTTGCTCCACACAGGGCTGCCAAAAGCTTTGAGTTTGTGAAGTGCAATACAGTGAATCCAGAAAACCATTCCAGAGTGGTTACCAGGGTAGGGGAGGGAGGAAATGACAGAAACACTAAGCTCAGTGAAGAGACAGACAGTGTGGAACGGACAACCAGACACTGAACATCTGATTTTAGCTCATGTGAAACCTATACTTAAACCAGGAAGTACTCTTCAGAACAGAGCAGGGGAGCACTGCGTGGTTCAGAATCAGGAAAGGGGTCATCAGGGGTACATCCTATCTCTATACCTTTTCAGTCTACATGCAGAACAGATCTTTTTGGAGGCTGGACTTTAGGAGAAGGAATGTGGCATCAAGATTATAGAGGAAGAATCAGCAAGAACTTGCATTATGGAAATGATACAATCTTGCTTGCTGAAATTGAGTAGGACTTGAGGTGTTTGCTGCATCAGTTTTCAATATGGATTGAAGCTCAACTTCAAGAAAACAAAGACTCCATTGGGCCAGTTGGCAATCTCATGATAGGCAGAGAAGAGACTGAGATTAACAGTTTCAGCTTACTTGGTTCCAAAATCAACACTTTGTATCAGCAGTTGGGGAATCAAAAGAAGTGTATTGGGGAAATCTTTTTTGTCAGGGACCTCCCAAGAGTACTGAGGAACAACAATGTGGGTCTGGAGACTCGAGCCTCACCCAGGCCATGGTGTTTGCAGTTACTTGCTATGCATCAGAGAGCTGGACAGTAACTAGGATGACAGAGGGATCGATGCCTTTGCGTTGTGGTGCTGTAGAAGAGTACTGAACATACCATGGACCGCCAAACAGGTCTGTCCTGGAGAGATTGAAACCAAGTTATTCTTTGGAGGCAAGGATTGTAAGCTCTTACCTCACATACTCTGGGCATGTTGGGACCAGTCCTTGGAGTAGGATGTCATGCTTAGAAAGGTGGAGGAGCAGTGCAGGAGAGGAAAACCCTGCATGGGATGGACTGACTCAGTGACTAGGGTAATGGGAGTAGGTGTGTCCAAGACAGATTTACTCAGGATAAGGTAGGGTTCCGAGCTCTTTTGCCTAGGGTCACAATGAGTCACAGATGACTCAACAGCACATAACAAGAGTTTTCAACTGGGAGAGGGCCAGCTAGTGAGCCCTCTGCATGTGCCACATAAAATTCAATGTTTAACACGTCAGAGTGTTTCCTTCCCTCTACTTCTTAGCTTCTTCAGCTACTCTTCAGATTGCCATGAAGATTATGGACTGTTTTCCAGATCTGCACATGGTTAGTTTTAAAAGAATTTCCAGATAACATGAAGCCAAAGAGGCTTTGACCCCAACATGATCTATTAAGGTGTAAATTCTCTCCAATGCCCAAAGAAGTCGTTCTTGATAAATGCTGTGCAGTCAGCTGCCGTTCCTGAAATTTCTTTCATCAACAATTGCCTTGTGTTCCATACGGTTCTCACGGCTAATGTTCAGAAAAAGACTGCCAGGTGTTTCTGGCTAGTTTTCTTTAAAGTGGCCACAGGGGGGAGCTCTGGTGGCCTAGTGGCAAGAAGCTGCACTGCAATCCCAGAGGAACACGGTTCGAATCCACCAGATGCTCTGCCGGAGAAGGAGGCGCAATATCCTCCTGTACCAGTCAGATCTGATTTGACGGTACATGCACACAAAATAAAAAAAAAAAAAATAAAGTGGCCACAGGAACCTGTCCACCATGGTGATTCTACTGTCATAGGAAATACTGGTGACAGCTTCCAACATTAAAGCGACATACACGCTACCATGTGACAAATGGTAGCAAGATTAATAAATGCTGATTGCCTTCAAGTCGAGCACAATTCAGCAAGTGACACAATGAACAAAAGGCCTGAAGCCTCTCCATAACAATCGTCATTCATCAAAATTCAGAGTTTCCAGAGGCATGAGATTAATACATGTTGTTGTTATGTGCCATCGAGTCGTTTCCGACTCATAGCGACCCTATGCACAACAGCTCTAAACCGTGCCCTATCCTGCGCCAACCGCACCGCCTCTGACACACCCATCCCGATTACCCCAGTCACCGAATCAATCCATCTCATAGAGGGTCTTCCCCTCCTGCGCTGTCCCTCCACCCTCCCAAGCATGATGTCCCTCTCCAAGGACCCGTCCCTCCTGGCAACATGTCCAAAGTATGTCAGACGAAGCCCCAGAATCCTTGCCTCCAAGGAGCAACTTGGTTTAATCCTCTCCAAGATGGATCTGTTTGTTTTCCTGGCAGTCCAGGGTTGGATCTGTTTGTTTTCCTGGCAGTCCAGGGTACATTCAGTACCCTTCTCCAGCACCACAGCTCAAAAGCATCCACTCTCCTTCTGTCCTCCCTAGTCATTGTCCAACTCTCTGATGCATAACAAGCGATTGCAAATACCATGACCTGTATCAGGCACACCTTAGTCTCCAGAGAGACACTGTTGCTCCTGATATAGTCCTTGGTAATTACCACTATTTAAAAGAAAAAACAAAATTGAAGTTGGAACAGTATCAAGGAGATTGATTCAATGAAACCAAGACCAGAATCTAGGAATTTGAACATGGCCATCAAGACTGAGACAGGAGGATTTCCGTTTATTCCATGAATGTTTAAAGAGTCAAGCTGGAGGCCTGCATGCCAACCTTTACACCACTAGGTAAATAATGCAGTGTAGGATTACACCAAGGTAGAGCTATCTGCAATAACTATTGTCCTCATATATAAGACACCCCACACCCTCTGTCCTACCCCATACTACTGGGACAAGGAGGCTGAAGCTTACAGAAAAGCTTTATGTGCTTTGAGTGCACAAAATAGGCACGCACAAGTGTTTTTAAAAGAATTTGGCCTGTGGAAGCATTCTCACTGTGAAATAACACATCTGCACTAGGTGGTGACAGTATTTTAACAACTAGCAACTTCTAAAAGCATAATCTGATCCAATCCTTTGAGGGATGGTGGTGGTGGTGGTGGTGGTAGCTAGGTACCAACGAGTATAACTCCTGTGACACAGTGACAGATCTGAACCCCGTCCTGTGTCATCCTCATCTGATACACTCGAGCACATTGCTGCAGTCTCCTTGTCAGTCCATACTGCTGAGGGTCTTCTGTCTCTCACTGACCTTCTACCTTCCCAAGCATCATATCCCTCTCCAACAAACAGCCTCTCCTAGAAACCTTTCCGAAGTATGTACGATGAAGCTTTGACATCCTTTCTGTCAAAGAGCATTCTGGCTGCACTCTCTCCAAGACATACCTTTTTGTTCTTTTGGCAATCCATGAGATACTCCCAACACCCCAAATCAGGCATCAATTCTTCTGTTTCATTCACCATCCTGATCTCGGATGCATAGCAAGTGACTGAAAAGACCATGGCTTGATTCAGAGGTGCACCTTAATCTCCAAGCTGACATCACTGCTCCTCAGTAATTCTAAGAGGTCCTGAACAGCAAGCCGACTTCCCCTGTGGAATCCCATCTCTGTGGATCGGTTGGCATACTGATAGCCAGGCCACAGCTAAGATCAGAATCCAGGCAGGACTCAATGCCGTCTGTACACAGAGAATTCCCCGGAGATATTGCATACTCTCTGCAAACAGAAGGTTCCTCCCAGCCTTCCCTCAGAGGGGATGCTGCCTGAACTTTGGTCTTGGTTTAAAAGTAACTTACCAATTGTTATGTTGGCAAAACTTACACATAAGGAAAATAAAACCTCATCATAGAATTTTATTGACTTAAGCTAAATAAAAACTATAGAAGGAAGGACTACGATGCCTTTCCACAGAGCTAAGTTGTGAGAGGACCTCTGCCTAAGCCTTCCTCTTTTTCAGAATGCATTTTCTCATGTCCCTGTTTTCTTTCTGTGTCCGGTTAACAACATCTCCTGACTGCTGGTACCAAGGGTGTTGATTGTGGATTCAAGTTAGATGAAATCACTGACAACTTCAATCTTTTCTCATAATGTTGCTTAGTAAACCAGCACCGAGAATTTTTATTTTCTTGCTATTGACATGCAGTCCATATTGAAGGCTGAAGTCTTTGATCTTCTGCACCAAGTGCTTCAAGTCCTTACTTTAAGCAATCAAGGTGGTCTCATCGGCATCACATAGGCTGTTGGTGAGTCTTCTCCAATCCTGATGCCACTCTACTCTCTATAGGGTCCAGCTTCTTGAATTAATTTACTCAGCATACAGATTGAATAGGTATGGAGAAAGGATATAACCCTGACACACACCTTTCCTGATTGTAAACCATGCAGTGTTTCCCTTGTTCTGTTCAAACAGCTTCTGTAGTGAGGTATAAAATACCTTTTAAAGGAATAAAGAATGTCAGTATGGTTTAAATTCATAACTGAAGGAAAGGCCCTGACTGGATATATTTTAAATATTTTAGTAGAACAAGAGAAAGGAAACTCAAGTGAAAAGCAGCTCTTTTTACTGAATTAATTTTGAATCTCTGTGGGTTCAAGCACCTTGGATGATTCATACTATAACCTTGCCTAGAATTCTCCACTGACTCTCCGTGACATTTGAGAATAAGATCTCATTCCTTCCCTCGGCTGCAAGTTCCTGACTAGTCCAATCCCCATCGCGTCTCCTATCTTCATCCCTCTTGTTCTCCCCACTCCATCATGTCCCTGCCACTTGAGTCTGTCAGTTACTGGAACATGCTGTGTCCTATATTGGGATCTCTGCACTTACTTGCTTTTGTCCATGGCTGAATGTACATTCTACAGGGTAGATCTCCTGCACTTGACTTTCTTATAACCCCAACTGAAGTGACCTTCAGGACTACACTAACCAGCTGTAGTGGTTGCCAGTTCAGTGATTGCCATTCAGTAGTTCAGTCTCTACACAGGTTCTGCATGAGATCCTGCAATGAGCTCTCATAAAAGAGGACCACCTAGGAAGCCCTGTGTAGACCTACTGCACTGTGTAGAGGGCACCCATGAACAAGCATACTCTTGTCACATACACTAGTTTTTATATTCTTAGACAAGAAAGTTCCAATTATAATTTAATATTTTTACCATTCCTCTGCCAACCAACTAACCAGTCAGGGCTCAGTGACCATTCTATTAGTAGAGGTCAGGCACACAGCAAATGCTTAATACATACTCGTGGAATTCATAAATGCAAGGGATGACTTCTACACAAAAAGACTTGCTGGGTCCTTGAACACAATTAATTCACAAATACAGAAATTTTGCTAGGAATATCGTCCTCAGCACAAAGTCGAATAATGTTATTTAAAAGTGTGGCTTCCGAAAGCCTACAAAAATGAACCAGGGAGGAATGCCAACTTAAAATGAAAACCATTTCTAGATACCAACCTAGCCCATTTATGATTCCCTTCCATTGATCAGTCAGGTAGCTCTGGTGCCCTCATGTTAAGGACTTGATTGCATGTAGCTTGAATCCACCAACTGCTCCAGCAGAGACAGACGAGCAGGTGCCTCCCACATGCTTTAAAGCCTCAGAAAACCCACTGGAGGCTCAGCTGGGAGTCAGCCTCAACTCAACAGCACATAACAGCATGTTGATAAGTCAAAAATTAGGAAGAGTTTCAATAACAAGGCCATAGACATTGAAACCCCTTTTATATATAGTAAAACGTTAAATGAAAGACAAATCCAGATACAACACAGTGATTTCAGAATGCGATTTTGAAGAATCATAATTATTAAAATATACAAAATGATGGGCAACACAGCTAGGCATTTGTCCATCTTCCATTACGGGAGAACACTGAAACTTTCTCTACCTTTTATCCATATCAGATAAATGGGTTAAAGTATTTGTTTTGTAGAATCTTAACTTAGTATTTCAGTAGTATAAAAAAGCCTGTAAACAGTAGTTGTAGTTTTTTTTCTTTGCTTTTTTAAAAAAATATCATTTTATCACACAAAACAACAACAAAACCCACAAAAAACCAGCAGCAGCAACAATGAAGTTATTTGGGATTTCTCTTCAAATACCAATGACATAACAATTGCTGGGAGAGGGTGCTTTTACTCATGTAAGAATATATATATTTCTTTCTTTTTTTAACTGTACACAATTTATAGTGCATAACAGTTTCCAAACAGAATAGATCAAGAAAACATATTGGCCATTTCTGCATAATTTCATTCTTTTTACAGTTATCTTCAAATGTAAGAGATTGGATTTCATTGAAATGCTACATTTCTTAGGAAAATCAGCAAGTGACAAAGGAAGCAGACCATGACGTAACATTACGAGTCATTACAACCAAAAGCTCTCCCAGATGTCAGCAGGCACAAGGCTGGTTAAGCAGACTGCTGGAGTCACACACGGTCCCTGAGGACTGAGGCCGGTCCACAGGGCACAGACATGCTAGAGTGATCAGAGTCAGCTAAGAGACTTGCTTCGGAGATGATGTCTATGTACAGTATATTTTTGGGATTCAAAGAAACATCATTTCAAGAACACATGCCATACACATACATACACACAGGCAAAGTTCCATCTAGGCAGGCCAGACTTTTACCAAGTAACAGCATGTTGCCACTAAACTCTATGCAGAATCCGTGAAAATGTCCAGTTCATCCAGTTCCAGGCAGTTCTCCCTTTAGGAACGGAGTATGTCATCACTGTGGCTACTAGTTAACACAAAACCTTTTTTCAAAGTCAGTGAACTGGGATTTCCAAGTCTGTCTTTGAAAAATTTTTAAAATTAACTTGGAAATTTAAACAATTAGTACTCACTATATCAAACTATCCCTCCAAGACAATCAAGTGAGGGCACAAAATAGAATTGCTTTGCATAGATTTTCCCCAAGCTCTCTTTTGGTCATTTTTAGAAGAAAAAGCATCACTTTTATCTGGAGCAGTGAATTAGAAAGGACTTTAGGGCTACAAGACCAAGGTGCTTGCTATCAGACATTTGATTTTCCTCAGCAAATTTGTCACTTTGCTTTTATAGAATAATTTTAACCAAAATCTGGATAACCAAATAGAAAAATGGAAGTGAGGATTCAAAAATATTATGAAACAATTGTATAAATCATGTTAAAATTTTTCATGAACAGTTTGAGTCTCCTCAAGCTACAGTCTTGGTGTTTTCTAAGAGTATAAAAAGTTCAATATAATTCTCACATTTCGAAAAAAAGTGGACTGAGCCTCAAACCCATACAATGACATTACTTTTGCCAGTCAAAACTTAAAAACTAAGTCTGTAATATACATTCCTTGCTTCCCAAACTCTTTTCATAAAAACACTAAAGTACTAAATCTCAATTTCCAAGTGTATGTGTATATATACATACACACACATTTATATACATATATAATTAATGAATTACAGAAACCAATGAACTTTGTATCACACTTGTCTGCATGAATTATGTACACCTCTCTTCTTTAAAGAAATGATTCCCATCTTTTCCCAGTGGAGATGAGACAGCAGGCTAGGCCTTGCCAGGACTGACCTGCAGCACTGCCCTCTCTAAACAGCCTCCGGGCTAACCTCGCCCTGCTCGACCTTTCGCGTGTTGGGATGAAGACGTCTTCACCAGTAACTAGCAAGTCTCAGAATGTGTACCTGTAGCCATCTGAGTGGAGCCCACAGGCTTATGCAAAATCTCACCTGAGGTCCTTGGCATGCTTGCTTGGGCTTAGGGATGGCCAAACAGCCAGCTGAGGGAAGCTTCAAAACAAACGTGCTGCTGTGGAAAGGCCTGCTCCCAGTCATGGTGTCCATCATCATCTCGCTGTGTCCTGTCCTGTCTGCACCCCCAATCCCCACTTCATTTCCTCAGGCTCACGGGCTCACGGGCCTGACCAATGCTCCCACTGCTGTACCAAAAGGCCGCTGGCTGCTGGAGGATGCTGGTTGACGCTTCCTTTTCTATTGCTGCTTGTATAGGGCCCCTGTCCCAGATGCTTCTGGTGACAGGAGGGAAGAAGAAAAGTGGGGTTCTCTTGTGGCTACCATATGCATATGAACATTTATAAAAGTGGTCACACCCACATTAGGGTCCTGTTTCTGGTTTATGTACAATAATTTAATCAGTTGTATATACTTAATACCTAAAAAAAAATTAATTCACGATCAAAGTCCTTCATGCATTTTATGAGGAAGTTCTGGATTTAAATGATGGTCAACCAGATGTCACTTCTGCCTGGAAAGATGTCATTCTCTGCTGCAGTCATCCATGCTGATGACTCACAATGCCTTAAATCTTTATTTTCTTTGTGGTCTCAAGTCTTTTTTTCAGCAGCTCCCCAACTTCCAGAAGCGAGTGTAGATAGCTGTTCTGCACCTTCCCCTGTACAGTCTTTGAAAATTTTCTTTCTTCCTACAAAGAAGACCAAAGTGCTCAGAAACTGCTGTCACATTTCCCCAGTTAAGATGAGCACACGTTGTTGAAAATGCCTCAGAGGGCAACTATGTGGTCCTGCTTTACTCAAATATTTATTGTATCTGTGAGAAGAAACTACAATACAGATAATTGTTTTAAAAAAAAACAAAACACCACTTTAAACTTTCTCTTTAGTCCCATTCGGAATGTTTTTGATTTCATAAAATGCAAAGAATGCTTTAAATCATCACAACTGTCTATTTACATGATTTTCCAACACTGTCACTTTAACATCATTTTTCTTCTAAGTTTGTTATAAGTTATATATAAGTGGAAAAACTGAGATTCCTGATCCATACTTTTCATGAGAAAAAGTATTACTACAGGGTGTAAACATTACATTCTTCTTTTGTGATAAGCTATACCAAATGAAAAAACATTGAGGCTCCGGATTATTTGTTTTCATTGAAAAAGAAAACAGAAATGTGTTACTGACCTTAATAAAGCCAGAAAACACACTGAGTCAGTGTTTCCCAGTTAGAATATTGGCAAGCCTCTCTCCCCTCTATGTTGGTGAAGTTCATGGATTCTAGAGGAGAAATGGTTACAAAAAGTCCAAGGCCTGCTGCCTGCTGTACCTGTGAGTTACACATTTACTGCCACATGTGACATTCAAACTGTTCTGACACGAGGAGGAGGACAGCTGGGAACTGGAGGGGTTTAAGTGATCTAGCAGTATTACAACTCCCCAGACTACAGTGAATGGTACAACCACTAATCTTCCTCGAACTGCATGTGCGTTAGAAGGTATCTAGAAATACATTTCATGCACTACAGTTTGTACAGTACTTTATGTACAGAGTATATGTGTCCAAGAAGGTATGTGCAAATACATTCCAGGCAGTTCTGTATGTTTAAGTGTAAATCTACAGAAACAGCCTAAAAAGCTGTATTCCTACTCTGAATACCAGACAGCTGCTGAAATCAAAATGGTCCATATACATCGACCTAAAAGGACCTCTGGAATCTAACACTGAGTGGAAAGGGGGTAAAAGACCAAGGTACAGAATACGTATCATTTAACAACAACAAAAAAAAGAATACGTATCATTTACATAAAAAGCACAAAATAATCTATTTTCTGAATAAAGGTGCTCAGTAAAAAGGTCTTGACAAGCAGCCAATGGTAAGCAGTGGGTATCTGCAGGGACAAGGAAAGGGGAGCTGGCTCAGAGTGGGAGACCAGAGGAAGTACTCATAATGCTGCAAGTTTAGCAAGAAAATGCAAAAAGGTGGGGGGGGGGGAAGAGAATGGGAGAAGAATGAAAACAGAAGCGACAGTAAATGAGATGCCGTTTTACTGACAAGGGCAGCACCATAAAGAACTGTAAAGATCTGACAGTCTGGTCACTGCCCTGGAGTCGGAGCTCAAAGCTGGGCCTTCAGCATTTCCCAGGGATTTAAGTGACAAAGGAAGAGGCGGCCATCTTTCTCCTCAGAGGTGCTGGTGAATTCAAAGCAGTGGAAAAAGTGGCCCTGGGCCAGCAATGGAGCTCCCTGTGGACTACATTACCAGAGGTCCCTTTTGGGGGCTGGTACTGTTCAATATACTAAACACAGCATGACTTGAACAAAGGTAAGCATTTTATGGTCAATGACTGTATTATTTTCCCCCTTGAATGTCTGTGTGGCCTGTATGTTGCTATGATTCCAGAAGCTATGCCAGTGATATTTCAAATACAAGGAGTCACCTCCAGTGCAAGTCCAAACCAAGACTAGGGAGAAAAGTGGCACAACAAAGTGCTATCTAACATGATGCGGGAGATGAACCCCGAGGCAGGAGGCCACTCACTCAACATGTACAGTGGTCGTGCAACAATGGAATCAAGCACGTGAAGATGGCACGGGACCAAGTGACGCTTTATTCTGTGGTAGCGTCACCATGAAACGGAACTTGATGCCAGAGCAGCTAGCAACAGCAGCAAGTGTTTCATTCAATGTTCCCATGATCCTGTGGAATACTGTGATGCTCTCGTTTTACAGACAGAGAAGCTGAGGCCTAGAGGTATTATGTGATTTTCTAAAGGTCAAAAGTCAAGGGCAGAGGCAGGGATTTTTAGTGTTTTCTTAACAGTATTTGTGAGCAGTTGAAAGTTTATGGATAACCTCTCAAATGCTCCAAATGGGAAATTGTATTCCTCCTTTGGGAGGCAGGCAGAACCTGGAACAGAAGCCACCACTCAGCTGTCACTGTAGGAGCCCCTTATCCTAGTGCCTGAGTGTTTTCGACAAGCCGTGCACTGCGGCTCTGCTGAGGACGCACAGTGCCGTACACAACTCACGTTCTCACCTCAGTGCTTCTGTCCCCTCGTTGGGAGACAACTTTACCCTGTCTGCCTGGCAAAACTGCTTACTCCGATTTATTCCTCACTGTTCCCATTGAGGCCAATAGCGTGAGCTCAGTAAATATCTATTTATTGAGAATCTCCAAGATCCCCAACAAAGCTGACGTGCATCAAACATCTGACATTCGTTGATGTTGATGACCTCATTTGTTAACAGGTAACTATCATTTTGAGGGGGTTTGTCCCACTAGTAGTCCTCATGCTCATGCAAAAGCTGGACAGTGACTAAGGAAGCCTGAAGAAGTGATGCCTTTGAATTCTGCGGTGTTGGTGGAGAGTCCTGAATATAACATGGACTATCAAAAAACAAATCCATCGGCTGTTGAAGAAAGGCAGCCAGAATGCTCCTCAAAAAAGCAAGCCAGGATGCTGAGGACATCGTGTCCGAGTCTAGCTTGGTGGAGGGTCGGGGAAGAAGCTCCTCAGTAAGCTGGATGACACAGTGGGTGCAACAATGTTACACACACACTGATGAACTGTGAGGACTAGAGGACTAGGCAGTGTCACAGGCCGTTGGTACATACGGCTGCTGTGGGACACATCTTCATCTAAAGGCAGAGGATAGGACAAGGCAGATAGAGCAACACAATGCCTATCTCACCAACACTGCGCCGGAAATAGTGGTTCCCTGCTGGAAAGGGGCCTCAGGATACAGGGTTAAGACAGAAGAGAGGGCTTTCAGTTTACACTCCTCCCTCTTCTGCTGCACATGCTACCTTTTAGGACAATATCATACCTTTAAAAAGGTAAAATATTTAAAATTAAATAACTTATTAATTAGTGTTTTAAACTATCACTGCAATCTGTATCCATTTGACTGTAAGTAGCAAAATAACTGAATACATAGTTTATTTGTTCAAAACAAAACTTGATATGTGAATACACCTGGTTTCCCTGCATCTTCAAAGTATGGTTCATTTCCTCTGGTGCTAAAGATATGAACAGCAGGAGTTCCACTCCCACTAACTCGGCCTGTTGTCCATAGTTGTCCTAGTATAAAGGAGTAACTTTGAAGGTGTATGGAAATGAAAGGTAAAGCAGAACAGACCACCACTATTTAAAAAAAAAATTAAAAAAATCCCAATTTTCAAATACAAATTCTATAAGGAGAGAATTGAGGAAGTAGCAATTAACTTGCCCTTATAATAAAAATATTTTTGAATAAACATAACTTACTGCAAGTTGCATATAATCTCTCACCGGTGAGAAAGCTGTATCTTCTAAAATAAGGTCTTCAAGTTTAAGTGCAATAAGATGTGTTTCAAGCCCTTTAATATGATCCACAACACTGGAAATTAACGTCTGGAGTCCAGTGACATAGTCTTGGAAACTGGTAAAGACAGATGGCTGGGATAAAGAGGAGAGAGAAAAAAATGGAAAGGATTATTGAACATATTTCTTGTCACATAAGTTATTCCAATTTCCTGCTAACGCATCATTATAGGTAACAAGAGAGATGGATCCTGTTTCAGACATTAATACAGTCTCTCAAATCAAATGAACCTACTGACAAAGGACAGTCAGCTCAGCAAACATGACTGCCCAGCTGGTCATTATGTTGTGTTTGCCTGCATTTTTTATGACGTGGTTGTTGGGCTTGGTGTTCTGGTTTGTTTTGAGTTGGGTTTTTTTTGTTTGTTTGTTTGTTTTTTCTCATTTTCTTGCTGTGTACCATACTGAATCAGATTTGACTTACACAGGAGGAGAATGCCCCTCCTTCTCGAGCAGAGCATCTGGTGGATTCAAACTGCACACCTTTGGAATTGCAGTGCAGGTTCCTGCCACTAGGCCACCAGAGCTCCTCTATGTGTTTTTGGAAGTGAGAAACCAATAGAAAGGGGAAATGAGCCAACAACAGGAAATACCTTAATTGATCATCATTCAACTTGGGCCCAAGATAATGGAGAAGAACCAAGACTAGATTTTACTCTCCTCATGTCTTTGCAATTTCTTGTTAACAGGGAATAAAAATGTAAAATTCTTGGTTCAAATGAAAAAACTAGTGAGGGGATCCTGCTCTGACAGGTAAGAGAACACAGAGGGAAGTTAACAGTAAAATTAGGCATTAGTGATCCAGAAGTGAAAAGAAACCAGCCAGGATCTGGCCCAAGGACTTGGAATGGCTTCAGTGGATGGCACTAGGATGACAAGCTGGGAATTTACAAGTAGTCCCAGCACAAAATAATGGCTATAATTTTCATGTGTTTGTTTAGGTGTTGAAGTCTCTCTGATATGTCAGTGCCAAATAAATTTTCCCAACCTGTTCTCTTCTCATTCTTTTGATCCACATAAATGTTTCTTTTTCAGAAGAGCCCATTCATCTAACTTATCCTCTACTGTTGGGGGGGGGTCCCCATTTCCCAAGAAAGTAGTATTAAGAAATAGACTGATACCATAAATTAGAGACCCTAAATTTGCTTCTACACTTCCTTTTATGATGCTTATAGTTTTAAATTTTACATTTTTAAATCTTGGCTCTATCTTGAATTAGTTTTTGTATGTAGTGTGAGGTTTTCTTTAGTTAACAAACGGATTCTCAGTTTTGCCAACATCATGTTTTTTTCCATATTAAGTTGTGTGGCCCTTTGTCAAAGATTAGGTAGATGAGAGTAATTCCTAGGTTCTCGATTTAATCCATGTCTTATGTAAAATTAATTCCACATAAGTTCTTTAAACATTTGAAACTATTATATTAACGTAAGAAAACTAGCCAATCAATTAGCAAAGTTACCGTTTCCCTCAAGAAGATTCTGTTTCTCTGTGAAAGTTCAACAACAAATTAGGAAAACCGTTTAGAAAAGGGAGCTATCTATGTCTTTGAGATGGGCAGAGAGTACAGGTACACCTAACACTCCACAGGGGATGAAGGGCAGAAATTGCTATGATCTTTCTAAAGAATGAACTGGTCAATATGTATTAAAAGCCTTACAAAGGTACATATGCGAATTTCAATTCTAAAAGGTATTATAAGGAAAAGATATGATGAATTTATCTTTGTAATATGTCCATACTTATACTTTAAAATTTAGAATCAAGTATTTCTTACTAGGAATAAACTATGCCAATCTTATAAGATGATATATAGCCATTAAAAGTAATACATCTTTATGTACTGAAATATAGATATATAGTATAGAAGTATAGCTACATCTATATGTACGGATGGCAAGAATGTCCAAGATATATGGAAAAACAAAACACAACAAGGCAAACTGCAGGACTTTCTAGATAGCATGATTCTAGTTTGTTTAATATTAATATTAAAACATTCGCAGTGATTAACCATGACTGGCAAGTACATGAAAGCTTCACTTTATATACAAACTCATTGGTTATTCTCATGATCAGAAAAAGGAGAAAGTCATTCTCATTTTGTTAGTAAAAGAATAAAACACCCATACTCAAAATCTACATACCAGAAAGCAACTAGATAAGCTAGGTTTGCAGGCTTTTGTTAGAAGGGAAAACAATGAAGCATCTTAGATCTATACCTTTAAACTTCACACCCATGACATGTTAAATTCCCCTGAGCAGAGAAAATAAAAGTGGAATTTCTCTCATTGAGTAGCCTCATCCATATCTAAATACCCTTTGTTTTTAAATGGATGATAGTATGCAGCACTATGTCCAATTGTTATCATGTTGAATTATTCAGAAAGTGAGTTTTACTACCCAAATTGTCAACATCTTCAAATGACAATGGTTACTATGTTGCTACAGTAGACACAATTTTGGCATTAATAATGAAAAACAGTAAAGATACTAAACAGTTTGCCATGTGCTATAATGAGTCCTAAATAACATTACTTTTGAAAATGATACTAATATGTTAATGTTTTACACATTAAAAAGTTACATGATAAATGTATACTGTCCAAGTCAAATACAAAGAAATAAAAGAATCATATTTACATCATGTTGATAGTATATTCTGTTGTACATTCCAATGTTTTATACAATATATTACACAAAATACACACAGTAAATTTCAGTGTATCCTTACTAGAATCTACTCAAAACAAACAAAAAACCTGGCTAAAAGAAAATAAACTATATTTAGTCTTTATTGTAGATACCAATAGTGGAACCGCAGGGAATGAGCAATTACAGCTCTGAAAACCTGCAGGAGGTTGAGTTATGAGTCAGTTCCAATTCAACAACTCAACAACACCAATGGAAGAGATAAGAGTAATTCCAAAACTATTTAGTGTTTATTGTTGGAAAACAATAAAAGAGTCAATAGATTGATTATGCTGGACATGGACTGAAAGAAGGTGTAGAAGGGAAGAACACTGTGCTGTCAGGCTTGAAATCAGAAGAGAGAGAGTATAACTAACTGCTACAGCTTTTGCCACTGAAATGACCACTTAGCAATGAAAGCTCGGCAACAACGAGCACATTCAGCAGTTGGCTGGGACTTCGGGTCATAAGCAGGTAAAGTACAAGTGCTTAGAGGTCTTCAGAGACAGTAACTCAAACAGGAGGGGACTACCCATCTTTCTCTCTCAGAGTAGCTGGTGGATTCGAACCACATACCTTTTAGTTGGCAGCATAATTCCTTCCCGGTAAGGCATCAGAGCTCCCTCAAAAACTGATGAAGACCCATTAAAGGACAAGAACCAGCTTAAAAGTGACTCCCATTAGCCAAATTTGGAATATTGATGACAATGAATTTTACTAAATTTAATTTTTGAAATGAGTTCCAAGTAATAAATAAACAAACAGTGGTATTAAAAATACATCAACAAATATATGTGAATGAGAAGAATCAGGAAAGCTGTAGTTCAGAGAATTGCCAGAACTGGAAAATCAGTGGTCTGGAACCATCAGCATAAAATGAGATTCAGTCATCATCACATGGATTCTGTACTAATTGATGGCAAGATGTTTACAAAGAATAAAATAAGGTAGACATTCTCCTAAAAGGAAACAGGCGAGGAGCAGGGAAGGGTGGGGGTTGAGCACCAGGACCTGAAGGGCTCTTCGAAACAATAAACAGAAAAAGTTGCCAGATGGTTACTTTTACTTTTCTGTTCTTACCATGATGATGCTGGTTTCTTTTTTCTTCTTTTTCTTCTTTTGCAAATTTAATTTGTACGGCCGCAGGATACTCTCACAGTAACCAGACACCCAGAGGATGACAGAAACCGTCTGAAAGAGGAAAAGAACCAATTCATGAGTAAGGCCTACACCAGGGGTGCTGCTCATCAGGTAAAGGTGATGAATGGATGGAGATGGGGGCGGGCTCCAGGTAAATCCGTGCAACTGCTTGTCCAAGGTCCACACTCCACTCTCCCATTTCTAGACTCATCATCCTGGTCCAAGTCTTCTTTAATCTCTTGCTGCGAATCGTGTGAGTACCTCAGTCTTTATCCTCTCTTCCATCTCTAAAAACCCCACTGTTGTTGCATCAATGTCAACTCCTAATGGCCTTCCATCAGTCTGCAAGGCCACACATTTTCACAGGGACAGACCACCTCATCTTCATGTCATAGAGCAGCGAGTGGATCTGAATCAATGACCTTTCAGTTAGCAACCCGATACACAGCACACACCCGACCAGACCTCATTCCCTTATATAGCGAACAGACTGAAAACCAGCCTTCACTGCTTTTCCAGTTTCCTGAAGGACGCAGAGAACCTCTGTATCCTTGTCACCAAGGGGAAAGTCTCATTTCTAGGTACAGAACTCAAAAGCCTCTCTGTCAGCTCTCCAGTCAGTTAAGTAGTGCTACACTCTTCACTTTATACACATATAGAGAAACTTGCTCTGATACCCTGCTTTATGTAATTAGTTAACTCTTTACATTTCTTCCTTTAAACTGCTGTATGTGTGTGTACATACATTTGCCCTTATAATGGCATCAATCACTCACACAAGGATTATCTGTAAGGCGTTTACAGTGTGCCTGTCACCTGGCAGATGAAGCAGCCTCAGGAAGCATACACAACAAGGAGAAGATCTACAAACAAGTCCATGGCAGAAAGGACAGGAATGAACCTGAGGCAGCCTGTTCTCTCAGGGTGAAAGAAAGAAGCAGATGTGGCTCCGTCAGCTTCTGGACACTCCTGGACTTGAAGACTTTTAGGAATTAGTAAGCAACAAGGACACAGAATACATAACAAAGAACTGAGTCAGAAAGAGGAATAAATAGAAAATAGTTAGATTTGAGGAACCTAGAGACGAGGAAAGCAAATGTGAAGAAGCTTTACCTAAATATCAATGTCTTCGTATTCTTTAACGGAGTGCCTTCAGAAAATAGTTTAAATTGCTTTTAAATTAACAAAAGGTGGGTGGAAGAAAGAGGGTTAAATGGCGTAAGATGGCTATTACCTATTTACTTTTGAAAAATAAACCCTATTTACGATGAAAGAGTAGACTGAAAGCATACCTCAACAAAGAAGACAAGATTCTCTAAGCGGTTTGGATGCGTTTTCAAGTTACCATCTTTAACTTCTAAGAGGTCACCTTTACATTTACTGAAGACATCTGAAAACAAACAGACAGTACGGTTTTATTCCACTTTTGTTCCAATGCCTTTTTTAGGAACATGATGTACAATCTAATAAAGAAGAAGAAAATACAGAGGTTTGATCCAGAATTTTGACTTTATGGGGTTTGGTTTTTTCCCCATTTCTCCCCATAATCAAATACCAAATGAAATCTATTTGAAGTTCTTTAAAAAGTGCTGTCTCTTTTTTTGTTAAAAAAAACAAAACATCATGAAGTATGGATTCTAGGGTCCAAACACGAGGTATGTCTTTCCACATGTAGACTATGAAAATATTAAGACTCTAAGTGAAGGACTTAGACAAACTCATGCCATTATAGACAAAAGGACCAAACGCATTATGAGAATATATCTGTGTACCACACAGCCCTCAGTCGATTCTGACCCATGAGCAATCCCCCCACTGAGTTTACAACACTGTAAATCTACAGGGGAGATTGTCCATCTTTCTCTCATGGAGTCACTGAGGGTCTGAAGCCACCAGTACAGCCTGAACAGACTCTACCCTCAGAACTCCAAATCTCATAGCAGATTGTACAGGTTAATTACTAATTCTGATCAGCCTTTAAATCTCAGACACGATTCACTTAGGTAATAAAGTAAAAACTCACATGTTCTCCTGTAAAAAAAGGGCGGAAGCGGGAACCCTTATAGATTAGATTTAAACCGTGTAGATGTACCCACTTACCAAACAATTCTGGAATGGAATCTAAAGAAAATACTTTAAAAAGTGCACATCCAGTTCTGTACCAAGATGCTCACTACGGTACCGCTATTGTTCTGTGCCGTCAAGTTGCCTGCCACCCTGTGTACAGCAGCTCTGAACCCCTCCCTGTCTTTAGTCTCACTAATTCTGACACACCAACCCCCATCGCCCCAGTTACTGTATCAATCCATCTCATCCAGGGCCTTCCTCTCCTGTGCTATCCGTCCACCCTTTCGAGCATGATGTCCTTCTCCAAGGACTGGTGCCACTTGCCCAAAGTATGAGATGGAACTTCAAAATCCCAGTCTCCAAAAGAGAAACGTGGTTTCACCCTCTCCAACACAGACCTATTTGGTTTCTGGGCAGTCTAAGGTATGTTCAACACTCTTCCCCAGCACCACAATTCGAAGACATCAATTCTTCTTCTGTCATCTTTAGTCACTGACCAGCTCTCTGATGAACATCAAGTAAATGCAAAGACTATGGCCTGGATTAGGCACACCTTAGTCTCTAGACTGACATCGTTGCTTTTCAGTACTCTGGAGAGGTTTCATTTTCCCAGTGCAATTCGCCTTTTCATTTCCTGGCTGCTGGTGTTAGGAGTGTTGACTGTGGAGCCAAGCACACTGTAATTGTTAACAACCTCAATCTCTTCTCCATCTATCATGGTCCTGCCAATAGGCCCAATGGTAAGAATCTTTGTCTTCTTGATGTTGAACTTCAATCCATATTGAAGAGTAGTCTTTGACCTTCTGCAGCAAGCGCTTTAGGTCTTTTTCAGTTTCAGAAAGTAAGGTTGTGTCATCTGCATAATGTAGGCTGTTAATGAGTCTACCTCTAATCCTGATGCCACATTTCCCCTCATGAAGTCCTGCTTCCCCAATGATCTGTCCTGCATACAGACTGAAAAGGTATGGAGACAGGATGCATCACAAGATGCACTCCTTTCCTGATTTTGAACCATGCAGTTTTTCCTTGCTCTGTTAAGAGGACTGCTTCCTGTTCAGTATAGCATATTTTTTTTTCAGTATTGCATTTTTATAAATATGGGAAAGAGCATGTTTGGGGGGCGGGGGGAACTTGAAGCTCTGGTGTGCATAGGTAAGTCTGGTCACTAGGCGAGTAAGGAATTGTGTTGTCAACCCAAAGACAGGTAGTTCAAATCTACCAGTTGCTCTTAGGGAGAAAGATGAGCAGTCTCCTCCAGTGTGATTTACAGCCTCTGAAAACTTGCTGGGTGAGCAATACAACAGTTCCTACCCAACAGTTAGGACTGAGTGATGAGTGCCATTAAAAAGGAAAAGTCATGTGTGCACGTGTATGTGTATGTGTACACCAAATACTAGAGGCTACTCTCCAGGTCAGCAGGCTCTATCTCAGGGGAAAAGAGGACCTGCCAGGGGAAAGGACCACACTCATTTGGATACTGATTAATTGCTACTTTTGAACTCCAAAAGGTTAAAGACAATGCTTGACAAATACTTAGGTATGTTTATTTTCAAATCCTGCCAATGTCTACATAAAATCAAGTTACTGCCAGATAAAATATATACAGATACAGTTATGGGCAGAGGGGCAAATGCACAAGGAGAGCACTTGCCTTTTAACTGTTCCATCAGAGACTTGAGACTATTCTCAATTCGCTCTTGGAGATCTGTTGTATCCTCTACAATTGAAAAACAAGAAAAGAAAATCTCAGTTCAACTCTTTTAGCAAAATCAGTATGTCCAGATAACATGTGGGCAAGAATGTGCTTTGCTTAAAATTTGAACCATGTCACGTCTATGAGACTGAGAGAGATGAAAGGGAGGCAGGAGGAGATTCTTCCCACCCGCCTTGCTATTCTTCCAGATACGTTAATTTATAAATACTGCACTGCATTTACTAAGTTTGCAATAGCATTACCCCAGTCAATGCACTCATGCGTCCACTTACCTAAACCATTGGTGTCGAGTTCATAAATATCATTAACAAGGTGAAAAGCGCTAGTCTGGCACTGGGAACAGCCAGAATTCAAGAATACAGCCATCCTGGTGGGTACAGGACCAAGGAAAGGGTACTGGAGAAGAAAGCAGATGAGTGATGTCCTCTAAGTATTTTCAAAATGATACAAAGAAGAAAACCAGGCTCCTTATCTACTGTCTCAGAGCATCAGTTCCCAGCCCATGGTGATAAGGAAGCATTATGGTGTTAAAAAAAAGAAAAAGAAGAATGCTGTATTACTTTGTGAATAGCTAATAAAAATCTTCTGTCACAAAAAACTATTTTGGCTTTGCACATTGTAGATGGAGGAAGAAACCTCCTCAATTCCGAGTCTACAATATCCGTCTTTCCTGTGGTTCCAGGAGAGGGGATAAAACAGTGTTCTTTGCTACACGCATACCAAGCTTGTTTTTTTGTGTTGTGTTTTTGTTTTTTTTTTTAATTCAAAGTCATAAATATAATTACTGCAACTTTGATGATGGAAGTACTTATTGATGGTACCTCAATTTGTTTGTCAATAAACTGCTTTCCGGTATCCAGGGCCACTTCCAGCTGTTGAAGGAGCAAACGCAGAGTATCAATCCGGGAGGACAGGCCATTCTCCGTGGTCTTCTCTGAGTTCTTAGACTCCACTGGGTGGTTAAGACTCGGAAGTGCACTGATCAGTCGCAGTGTTAAGGAACGGATTCTCAACCACACCGTCTCCTCCTCCAATGACAGTTTTTTATGTTCTTCAGAAACATCCCTGAAACAGGAATACCCCCAAATCATACCTTTTATTCAATCTTCTGCTATAAATGCAGTTGCTTTGAGTAAGAATCATTGTGCCAACAGTGGGCTAGGGTTTTTTTACGGCTCCCTTCAACTTCTTCCCCGTTTGTTTGAACCGGTCAGTGTGTATTTAACAGTCACAGTTTTCACTTATTAGCTGGACAGTCCTGAACAAGCCACAAATTTCTAACCCTGTCTTTGACTATCCATAAAAACCGTGGAGGCCAAGCTAGGGGAGAGTGATGATCTACCTAACCAGTCACTTTACTCTACAATGAATCTTCTTCCCTTGGTGAAAACAGTAGGTTAGAAACAATTAAAATGACCAAAAAAAAATGCTTCAGAAGCAAAGGCAGGAGAGAAGAGGAACCTGGTACCCTGAACTACCACCACTTTAACAGACTCACTCCAGAGCCTTCACATTTTGCAACATGGATATATATGAGTTAGAACAAAAATAGAAAAGTAATTTAGTAATAAAATGGGTTCATAATGCTCCCTACAATCTGTGCACTGCACCATTTTATGGCAGTGTATGACAAAGGGGCTGCGAGGCTGGCTCCAGACTCACACTGGTATGCAGCACTCTAACCAGTCCCTCAGAGTGGGTCACTAATCCTTGACTACTTCTACTAACAGTGTGGTCCATGGGGACCATGTGATTTCCTTTTAGGAGTAGACAGAAGATGCCTACCCAACCAGTTAGTAAAATGCTGGGCACTTATGGCCCGACAGGGACTGGCGGAACCTCAAGGCTATGGCACTTAGTTGCCCTTCAAGTCTGAAACTGAACTCATCCCATTGGCTCAACTTTCAGCCAACCCATGGACAAGCCTATCAAGTGAACAATAACCACCAGGACGTTCACAATATGTCAAACAGACAACTATACATATCAAGAGTGTAGCACCTGGCCAGGAATAAAGCTCAGAAAGGAATCGCAAAGAGGATGACTGGATACGGGACTACAGAGGGGGCCAGAGGACAGCTGCACATCACAGACAAAGGAGGGATGATTAGATACCGGACTACAGAGAGAGGTCACAGGACAGCTGCACATCACGGATGAAGGAGGGATGACTGGATGACCATATCCAACACAAGTCTAACCCTTACGTTTACAGATTTTACATAATGCTACTCTCTCTACCTGTTTAAACGTATTTTCTCTAGGAATTTTTAGCATATGAAATTCGCTCGCGTGTGTGTGTGTATGCGTGTGTGTGTATATATATATATATAACATATGCATGGCACATATACACACACATATACATACATGTGTGTGTGTATATATATGTGTGTGTATGCCATGCAATAATATCTATCTTTTAGATTAGCCAGTTGTCATCAGAGTACTATTACTCATCAGAGTAATACTCTTATATCTTTAGTTTAATCATATTTTCTATTATTCAACAAATAGGTCATACTTGTGTGAAAAAAGAAATTACCTTTTTGACCTTAAATCCACCTCAACTGTTTAAAAACAAAATGTTTGTGGAGTTCAATTCCAGCTACCTGTCTTTTGGTTCCCAGCTGAAGAAAACATTTAAGTCTCTGTTGTCTCGCAAGTCTTCCCATGGAATGTCATCTTCTTCAGGCTTCAGATTCATTGACTTTATACTTTCTGCTAAGCTGACTGATCTGTGACACAGAAGAATTTACTGTATTATTCCAACAGTGAAACAGCTACAGACACATCTAAGTTAAGATTCGGGTTCACTAGAAAGAAGGGGAAGGAGAGGACAGTGAAGAAGAGCTGACACTAAGCAGAAGGGCGGGCCCATGGAAGGTAAAGCAACTAATCACAGGTGATACTGGAAAGCTCCACTGCAGCTGAAAGGCTTCCAGCTGACCAAACAATGCAGAGGGGCAGCGTCAATTCCTCAGTATGGACCAGCGCATGAACCACGGCCTAGGTGGCTCCTGTGTGGACTGAATGGCACTGGCAGTGCCCCTCAGCCCTCACGACACACAGAAGCTCCCTGCTCCTTATTTCACTGCTCTCCTCTGTCTTCGTACCCCTGCTCTGGGTGATGACACCCATGGACCCAATGGCTCCCACCATCTGATTTAATGCTTTAGTTTCTCCTCTAGCTCTCCCACGATACTTACATATTTGCTTCAAGTAGAAGGTCTAACAGCATCCGTTCAGTACGGACTTGTGCAAAATGAAGAGAATTATTCAGTCTGTTTCTAAAAGCAATAAACTCGGGGATCTTCTCAAATGCACCATATTTGTAAGCTTGAATAATATATTCTGAGGTCTGGGAAGGAAAGACATGACCTTGGTATCAATATTTTCATCATCTGTCAGACAAGACAAAACAAAACCCCGACCCTAAGTTTCAATAAAAGACTTGTAATCTTTAATCTTGAAGTCTTTAACTGTTTCACAGTCTTTGTCCACTGCTGCTTTCCCATCTTCCTGTTCTAAGTCAAATCTCTGTCTCTTTTCTGTCCCTTTTAACATCACTAACGAGATACCCAACTGCTGCTACCACACTTGCTCTTGGTGGTCACACCTTTGAACTCCACAGGCTTAGAGGTTTTGTTATGCTGGGACATGAAAATTTGGTTAGTGCCATAAAGGAAGGGATGTTACTCCATGTTTTTCTGCAAGTAAGATACACCGAGGTTTCAGTAAGGTTCTAAAAAGTCTAGAATAACATAGCCACCACCCACTAGCACCCAGAAATGAAATTACTCTTTTTCCTAAAAAAGTCTGCTACATGGTTTTCCTTCTATGTATCACAAACACAAGGTCTAAGTGCACCACACCGGAGAGAAGTAAACGAAAGACCTACAGACTCATGTCATGGTCCGCTCTGGGGACAGGAAGACTTTGAGAGCCAGACCTAAGCCAAACTACAGAGGACCTCTGCTGAACATCCCTATGACCAAGTGAGGGCGCTCTCAGCACCAGCACCCACATACGTATGGACATGAAATGTAGAACAGAGGCAAGAAAAAGCAATCTGAACAGAAACTCTGTCACGACAGAAGGAAACTTCAGAAAGAACATTTCATGAGTGTAGGTCTGCCATGAAGATCAGAAGACAATCCTTTGGATGAAAGAAAGTGTTAAGCTCAAAGCTCATGTACACCCCAAACACGGATCCTCTTAAGAAAGCCAGTCTCTGCACAGCCCCTGCTAGGCAGCTCTGCCCCCATCTCCATTATGTCTGAGTAAGTTGCCCAGTAGGAAAATAGGCCAAGAGTCAACAACATACCCTCTGATACACAGCCTCGCAGGGTTCATTTCAGGCCGCGGGATTGCGCCACGGGCGCTAATTCAACTGCATTCGATGCGGCTTTTAAACCCCCATGGGATACCTCGGCGAGCTGTTTGCCTGCAGTATCTGGAGAAATTAAAGACGGACGGACACAAGAAAATTAAAAAGATTACTTGTGATCCTGCAGGTTTAAAGAAGGACTAGCTGAAAAAGCTCGAGAGTCCCTCCTAGTTTGCTTAAAGGACAGCGATACACCCTGTCAGGAAGAGCCTGGACACTGGGACTGTGCAGCCGTATGCCTATCTGGCGTCATAGAGCCTGGAACCATACCAAGGTTTGCCACCAGCCTTTGCAAAAGAAACTGACAGCTTGAAAAATCTGACTGGTTAGGAATATATGGTTCAGCAATCAACCTGGACGAAGAAAAGGCTTAGAGATTCCAATGAAATTTCTAACTTAACTCCAAAGTCCTCTAGAGTGCTGGGAGAGATCCAAGCTTTTCCAAGTCTAGAGGCACTTCGAATTCTGAATGGCCCAGGGAACATAACACCATTGTAGGGGGCACAAGCAAAACTTGTCATAAGGAGCTGCAAAGACAGAATACAGTCCTTTAACAAACCATGCAGGAAACTTGAGCTGTCTAGCTTCTCCTAAAACACAGTCCTCCTCTAATGCTGCAGCAGGGTGTCACTGCAGACCCACCAGAGTCTGGAAAGAGACCCAGAGCACCCAGCCTGGGAAAGCTGGACCTATGTGCAGATGTAACCTCTAGTGAAACTGCAGGCAAAGCGGGGAGCCACAGGCACATGAACCCCAGAACAACACAGCGTGTGGTCCGTAACCATCGTTACTCACTTATGTACCATGGAGATGGCTTAGAACCCCCATTGATTTTTTAAATGAACCCTGGGCACTATAAAAATTAGGAGAATACATGGGCATCAAACCTCTAAATACTGATTTTCATAGATAAACTACATTTTTAAAGAGAGGAAAAGATTATAAGCATATAAACAACTTCTGGAGCTGTGGAAATCTAGACCTATTCTATTTTTAAAAATCTATTCCAAAATAAAGTGATAGGAGACAATGACCTATCCAGAAAAGAAGCCCTGTACAGAGCTTTCAATTTCATAGTATGGTATTTTACAAATAGCAGATTTCCCTCCCCACCCCCCTTAAAGATTCTTTTTAAAAGTTAGATCAAATTAAAATACATCAGTTGCTCACACCAAACACCCAGGGGACCCCAAAACTACCAAAAATAAAGTATGATGGTTTCACAGAGATTTCCACCACCCTGCAGCACAGCAAACCATGCCTGACCCACCTTGGCCTTGGTCCCTTCAGAACACACTCAACCCCACAGTCTCTACCCATCTACTGGGACACTGAGACCAGGGGCATTGTTTTCTTTGCTGGATTGTGTTTTCATTTTGTTTCTACAATACCTCAATATTAGCTTTTGTAACACATTTAAGGAAATTCTGTCATCTTAACTTTTAGTAATAAAATAAAATTAAAGGAGAGTCCTCGTTCCAAGTCAACAAAGCACTGTGATCAGGCTCAGCATCACATATATACAGTCAGAGAAGTCAGTCATTCCACCACACACCACAAAACACCAAAACCTCCCGAAAGCTACTGAACAGAACAAAAAAGTCTTAGTAATTCAAGCCTTACACAGCATCCTTCTTCCGGAATACTGGTACCATGCAATAATCTTGAATTAATCCCACATTTACCACCCCCCACTACTGCAAAGCTTTGTGAAGAATAAAATGTAGAAAAGGACTGTGCAGTGAAACAAATGTTCTTTTAAATCATTCCTTGCCAACCACAGAAACAAAAGCTAGCACATGAGATAGTCCTTTTCATTTGGAATTCCTTTAGTCAATGAAAACTAAGTCTCCTATTCGAAGAAAACAGGGGACAGCAAGCACAGACACCAGCAGTCTCCGATGGATACTCAAACTGCCCTCTCCTGCACGGAGACCTTAGGACCTGCACATCCTAGAGACGTCTTCTGATCTCTCAGCCCGCACAGAGGAGCACAAGGTGCCAGGAGCCGCAGCACAGAAACAAACCTCAAATGAACGGCAGTCACTGAGAGGTGCAAGGCCAGGGGCTACACCAGCTCTCCAGACCACACTTTATCAGAACATACTTAATACGAGGTAACATCAGGAAATTAATATACTGCACTCTTCAGAGGTGTTTCTGCCCAGCCTCTAGTTAATGCCCTATAAAGAATTACTTGGAAGACAGATTAGGCATGGCTGTTATTGTCATCAACGGGTTTTCATTTGGTTTGGAATTCTCACGAAAGCTTGCCAAGACAGACCCAAAAAGCCAGCTTCCCTTGTCAAGTTCCTTAAAAGCTGGAAGACCATGTGAATGGAAAACTATGGCCAGAGAGCATGAGCTGAATTCCAGGAAATGAGTCTTAGAAGAAGCTGAGAACAAAGTAAGCAGTGTGACCATCTTTATTTTCACATACACATTCAAACAGCTGGTGTCTACAGGTGGGAGAGACTAAACCATATTCCCACACAAGCTTCTGCGTGACTCCCAGGTGGAGTCCCAGACCATGTCAGTGAAAAAGATGTCGTAAATCCCATCCTTTTAGCATGGCACATAGGAGCTCTATGTAGGTGGTGTTATACCAAGAAAACCTAAGGGTATTCACTGCTGACAAAGGGAAGAGTGACAGTATTACATGGCACCCTAAGTCTCACCCTCTTGGAAAGAATCTCTCCAGATATCACAAGTCCCATCTAAGAGGCATAACACTTTCTGTTCTGTTAATATTCTGTTTTAAACACGTTCCCCAAAGATTCTACTAAACGTATCCTTTCTTTTTTTATCTCCTTGCTCCCCTGTAGCATGGTTTTCCTTATTATTGTAAAAACATAAGCAACATTGATCAATTCATCAATAAACACCCCGATTCTACCACGGCTTCTTCCTGACAACTTTGGACACTTGCCGGTTCAGCCACGTGCCCCTCCATATGTCCGCCTGTGACATGAGCAGGATGTTTCCTCAGTCACATGCACTGAGCAGGCAAGATCCTAGTTACAAAAGGAAAAGAAAGAAACAACACTTACATCTTTCTGGTTGGAGTGGAAAAACCTGAGTGCGAAGTTACAGGACTGGGATGCAGCAGCGTACTGACCCAGGGGCTCAGCATACCGCGTCAAAAGGTAACTGGTGAGAAAGGAAGAAAGAGGAAAAATTAAACCAAAAGCATGTACTCTAATAGCAAATACGATACTGTGATGAAGAAACCGCCAGGCAAAAAGAACACAGAAACATCTTGTCACAAAAGGGCAAGAACCAAATTAAGTGAGAGAGTCAGTGTGTTTGTTCATGGGAAACCTAGAGTCTAATGCCGTGCTCTCTTACACTCAGATGGTTGCTGTCCTCCTGAAATAACACCATAGTGGAGAGAGAAAATGTCCTTAATTCATTATACAGACAATTCAAAACAGAAACTCAAAGGGACCACAGAAGTCAACAAAGTTAAGTACATATGTGACACGTCAAACACACGGTTGAACAAAGATTTCAAAACAAGAAATGCGAAGAGTAAGGGCTGGGTATGAAGCTGTTCCTGGTCACTGGGAGAAATTTCCTTATCATTTCTAAAATGTGAAAAATAAAAAACTCCCACAAAATGTTAAGAGAAACAAATTCATTTTCTGTTACAATGAGTCATTATAAATCAATCTAGGAACAGTTTTATGCCAAGATCCAAGGGCTAGGATGAGGACCCCAGCCTGTGCAGCCGGCTGCTGACTATTCAGAGTATATACTACCAACCCAATGGTGTCATGCTGGATGTGCTTGGCATCAAGGCTGGAGTAAAGATCCACCACTGGTTCAAATGCACCCAGCATACAGTAGATTCGTACAAGCAGCAACTTGAATTGAGCATTAGAAGGGCTATGAGTTAATCCTTCTTCCAACAAGGTCAGGGCCTGCCACACAGCAGTCTCATCACCTAGAAGAACCAAAACACAGTGTCACTAGCTACATGTCTCAATGCTGAGTTAGGTTTTCCCAGCTTTACAGTCACAAGGAAAATTATTGACATCATCACCTCCCTTCAATACTCAAGAATAAGGTTAGGTAGATGGCAAAGAAAAAATTTTCAGTATACAACTGTAAGCAAGTTAAGAGATTTTCTTACACAGACAGAGCTTCAACATTAACCTTAGCTCTTAGACTGCCCTCTGCAAAAGTTAATGCAACCCAGTAACAATAGCAAAGTTCAATGTGGCAGCAAACAACAAATGCTAGGGAGGTTGTGGAGACATTGGAGCTCTTACTCACTTCTGGTGGGAATGTAAAATGGTAAAACTGCTTGGGAAGGTGGTCTGGCACTTTCTCAAAATGCTGTACAAAGAAATAGCATTTGACCCAGAAACTCCAATACTGGGAATATACCCTAACGAAACCATGGCCATGACTCAAACAGATGTATGCATAAAATGTTTACTGCTACGTTATTCTCAATAGGAAACAGATGGAGGCAACCCAAATGCCCAGCAACAAATGGATGGATAGAAAAACTATGGTGCATTCACACTATGGGATATTACACAGCACTGGAAAAACAATGAACTCATAAAACATTACACAAGATAGGGGAGCCTGGAGGACATTTAGTTAGTGAAATATCTCAGTCCTAACAGGACAAACACTGCATAACACCACTGTTAAAAAAATAGGACACCTAAAACCAGGAGAGAATAAAAAGTACAAATATTGAATTTTCCCAATTTGCATACAGAATTTGTTATTTCCTTGAATTTGAAGACTATTTTAACTTAAAATGATAAATTTATTTTATATAGTTTAAAAAAGCACAAAAAACTGAACATGCCATGAAATGCTCCATAAGTTGTGTCTAGACTGTTCATCACGATTGTGTCAGTTTTTCTCATGTTATTTATTTTGGTGAATAATACGAAAAAGTATCTGTATTTTTTACCTAAAAACTGCTAATTAGAGAAAATGCTAGGGGTTTACCCTGAAGAAAAGTCAATTTCCAAGACCATTTGTAAAGTCTTCCTCAACAACACGTTTGCTTTACCAATACCATTTCTATTTCTGTCTTAATAAATAAGCTATTAGAACTGTGATCTAAAAAGAATGAACTTTGCTTTATGTCAATCTGTAAAGAAGTGAATTAAAAGGGTTATTTTGTTCCATGGGCTATAGAGCCTTCTCTGAATGTATCTCACTGCATTTTAAGTATTACAAGTTTATGTTTTAGTGCAGTCATTACAGGAAATACTCAGAAACATTGAAAAATAGAACTAATGCCATCAATTTAAAATCATCCTGACTATAAAGAGAAGGAAAATTAGAAAAATTCAGATTCTTTTTGGGGTAGTGAGAAAAAAATAAGACCTAAAAGTATAAAACCAATCATTAGATGACATAAAGGAGGGAAATGCAGTCATTAAAATCAACAGAAACAAAGAATAACATGAAAGTTAAATCACTGCTACTCACTTGTTTCTCTCCATATATCAATGAGCACATGGACAGCAAGGAGGCAATAATAGTCTGAAAATTGCAATTCTGTTTTCAAACACGATTTCCCTACAGGAAGGGGGGGAAAAATCTGTATTTTATATATTTTTAACAATTAAAGGCCCAAAGGAGAAAATAAGAATATTGGGTAAAGTAACGGAATAACATACATCTAATTTTCATTTATTGACTATCTCATTATCCAGTATTTAACATTTAACAATGGTGGGAAAGCCATTAACAATGCACACCCAAGAGTAACAAATACCAGATCAAGTATTGTTGGCTGTGATGGTTAAGTTTATATGTCACATGGTTGAGCCACGATTCTCAGTGATTTGACAGCTATGCAAATAATTAAATTTAGAGTTACATAATGATGTCACTTGGAAGTTACATAATGCTATAAACTGGCAATTATATAATGATGCAGCCATCCTCCAACTTTTGCCAACACTAATTTTCACGAAGACATGATCTGCTGGACATACTGTCTTACCAACTAAGAAATGAATATACATACATAAACTACAAACCAAGGACTTCAGAAGGCAGGCAGTCAAATCATCATCAAATGGAGACAGAAGGATGGTTTCAGAAAAGAGATAGGATACAAGTAGTTGAAGAAACTAAGTCAAGGAGCATGTACTGCTAACTCTGTTAATATTATGCTGCAACATTCACAATTCTTTAGACTCCAATCTTAACAAAGGCGTTACATCATATCATTTGAATGGTCTTCCCCCTTGACTGAATAGTCTCCTTGCCAAAGACATTAAGACAAGGCCCTAAGAATATGCTTAAGAAGTGGACAGAAAAAAAAAAGGTTTAGCGGATGAGAGAACTAGGGCACATTTTGAGATTGCTCACCGAATTCTAGCCCATGTTGGTACCGTAGCATCAATTCTCTAACCACATTGAATTTCTGACTTTTGTCCATGGTGTGATACATGCCAAGTAATCTTGTCAGCTGTACCACACACAAATGCTGTTGCAAAGCTTTGATGTCAGCAGGTAGTGCCAGCTTATCTTCTGTTGGTGTCGTCAAAGGAACAACTCCCAGTAACTGATTAATGAACTGCAAAATAAAAAAGAAACACAGGTGCATAGGTCTCAAAACACAGCTCTTTCACAGTGGCTACACTTAACAGAAGCTAAAGCACGCCAGCAAAACACATAATAAAATAAATACACAAGGGAGCTCTGGTGGCCTAGTGGCAAGAAGTTGCATTGAAATCACAAAGGCGCAAGATTTGAATCTACCAGATGCTCCACTGGAGAAGGAGGGGCAAACTCCTTCTGTGCCAGTCAGATCTGATTTGCTGGTACATAATAAAAAAAAATACACATTTCATTCACTGCTTGTGAGAATGTACAATGTTACCCACGTCTCCCACCCCTACAGCTAGAACCTCACGTGGACATTTTGCAATTCTCTGACAAACACACAGCTGAGCAGCAGGATTTCCAGCTAGTGCAATCACAGACAGTTAGCTAATAAGGTGTGACAGCAAAACTGCTGTCCTCAATCAAAATGTGCACAGCGGCCCATGCAGCCCCTCTAAATCCTGTTTTACCACCTTATCACTGCTCATTCACTCAATACCAGAGTCAGAACTCACTCACAGCTGACTCCAGAGGTCTTCCAATGCTGGAAAGCTCACGGGAGGAGATTGCCATTTTTTTTTTTTTTTTTTCACAAAAGCTACTGGTAAATTTGTACCATCAGAGACGTGGCCTTTGGGTTAACACCACCACTCTCTATGGTCTACACCACCAGAGCTTCCTTGTTTTAGAGGGCTCCTTGGAACAGCAAATTCTTACAATCTAGGGTCACGAGATAGTCCAGTTTATCGCCCAATCAAACAAGGCTGCACCACATGCAGAATTGTACTGCACTCTTGGTAGCTAGGGTTTGCTTCACAGCATCTCAGCCAAGGGTAGTTTAAATTTCCTCTTGTTCATGCAACCCCTCATTTGAAGCATAAGCCCCGTGTTTACACATCGTGAAACACACAGCACATTTAACATGCACTGAACGAATCCATGGTTATCTAGATTTAGCCTGCATTCCTCAAGTCAACATGACACTCACACATTAAACCTGTAGAAAATCCTAATTACTAGAGAAATATTTTTCTCACTGAGCAAATTCAGAATTCCCTTTAACAACTTCTCTTTTTTCCCCCTTTTCCCTTATTTTGTGCCGTCGAGTCGGATCCGACTGGCACAGGAGACTGACCACCCCTCTCCAGCCTTTTAATAAGTCCTTGCTGATACGGTCCATTTCCTTCTTTGGTAAGACAGTTGTCAACTACAGAAAGGAAGCATTTTGTCTTTACCAGACCAAAGCTGTCACAACTCTCATATGCCTTCAATCCTGTTCCCACAACCCTGAACCCTCTTTTCAGGATGTTCACAATTTATGTCTAATTTTTTAGTTTGGCCTGAGCCCTAAGCATACCAATTGTAACCTTTTACTAAGCCAAACTGGATGGTAATATCATTATAGAACCAAGAGAGACTGCTGGATTCTGATCAGTTTGGCAATAAACTGCTACCTACATCTTCCCTGATGTGAAGTCCATAAAGGATTGAGCCTTGGTGGCCCGAAAATGTGGACACTACACAAATCTTCTAGTCACTGCCACTGTGCTCCCAATGTGCTGCAGATTACAGAGGTTTCCTCTGACAGGCTGGCTTTCAGACTTAACTGGTCACAAAGCTGTACAAAAGTAAACCTGACCAGATTCCTCAGCTTTTCTTACATATGTGCCTCAATTCCTTCATATGCAGATCTACCTACTAACACAGTACCAGAATAATTGTTTAGATTTTTTTTAAAAAAGAAGAATTATTTTACTACATTTTTAGAAGTTTAAACAGCAAATTAGGTTCCCAACACTATAAAGTTTTATTGTGAAACAGAATATGAAGTTCCCTTAACGGTTAAGGAAGCCAAGTAGATACACCTTGTAGATAAGAAGTCTAAAGAAAAGCTTTCAATCCTGATATATCATACTGTTTACTCACATAAAAAAATGTCCAGGACAAGGCAACAGAAAGCCACACAGAACTTTGCAAGCATTTGATCCTGAAACAGTAAAAGAACATTCACGGAAAAACAGAGAAATTCAAGTGACGTCTAGGGGTCAAGTGTTCATGTTAGTTTCTAAGTTTTTACAGATGCACCACCATAATTTAAAGTGTGAACTCTGGAGGAAGTTGAGTGAAGACTATTTGGAAACTTTTGCAACTTTTCTATCATCTAAAATTGTTCACCAAATTAAAGGCTTATTTGGAAAAATAAAAAACTTGCAAACCTGCAAGATATGATTTTCAGACTGGTTTCCAGCAGTGTAAAATTACTAACTCAGTCTCACAATTTTCAGCAAATCTGGGACTTTAAATTGAGTTCCCTGAACTTGATTAAAAGGAAAAACTTTACTGGCAGAAGACATTATTAAGAATATAAGAGAACACAACAATGAAAGAATCTTTTAAAAGAGAAAAGTGAAGGGAAGGAACTGTGTAACAATGAATGAATGGAAATCCAAATTTTCTGTAAACTTTTGTTAAATTATCAGTAAAACATAAAATCATAAAAAAAAAAGAGAGATTATAAGAGAAAGACCAACAGACTAGGAGAAATGTTATTGAAACCATGTATCTAGTAAGGGACTTGGAATGTATAAAGAATCCCAAAATGTAACAGTAAATACAAACCATTAAGCTAGAAAATGAGCAAAAGACATTCCAACAAAGACAATGTATATATAGATGAGACTACACACATGAAAATATGCTCAATAGTATCAATTTTTAGATACACACAAAGCGAACCCACAATGAGTCACCACTACCTATCCATCGGAATAAAGGAAATAAAAAAATAGTACCAACACTAAATGCTGAAGAGGACACACAGAAATCAATGAGATCCCTCATATGTGGCCACTGGGATTATTAAATGGAAACAATTCGACAGGTTTTAAAAGCAGCTTAATATACAATTGAACAAGGCATTTCTCCCCATTCCCCCAGAATAATGAAGTAAATTTACACAAAAGATGTGGCAGTTTCCTTAAAGATTTAGAGCGTTGGACACCCTATGGGGCAGGTCTATTCAGTCCTACAGTTAGGAGTTCAAATCCACACAAAACCTTGTGAGAACTTTGAGAAAGTAAAAAAAATTAAAACCAACTAGACATCTTGAACACTTAAATGGTTAAATACATTTTGATACTTGCTTACCATTCAGCAATAAGAAAGAATGAACTACTAATACACAGAACAGCTTGCATACATCTCCAAGGAAATCAGAAAATCAACATCGTAAGGTTACACAGAACATGAATCCAGTTACATGCTACATAAGGTGGCACAAAGGATGCCTGGACCGGCACAGGGCTCTGCATCTTGACTCAGGTGGTGCACACATGAATCAGTATAACGATATACTACCTAAAAAAACACAATCGGAACTATAAAACTGATGACCTCCGAGAAAGGGCAGGAAATTACATCGATTTCACGACTACAATACTGTCACGAGGTACTCTGCTGACAAAACACCTATCTTGAAATCTCGTGTTCACCACTCCCGCCCATTTCAGAACAAATCCAAATTCTCAGCAGTTACACGCAGCTACCAGCAGAGTCTGAACTCTACTCACCTTTGTACACTGGGCAGCAGGCAAAAGGTCAACAAACACCTTGAGGTCTGTAAAACAACAAGGTTTATCCCCAAACTTCTTAAAATACTGAAACATTAATTCTTCTGGATCACCTAAAAGAAGAGCAAAAAGAAACAAAAAAAACCCCACAAAATTATTCTTCAGCTGATGAAATTTTGAAGTTCATCGGCCAGGTTCTGAAAAACTATTTCTTTGGAGCTTTGTCTTAAAAAATTAAATTGGGAAATGCAAAAAGTTTATCATTTTAAATACAACTCAAGGCAGGAAACAATAAGAATTATACACTAATTTTTTGTCTAACAAAGAATTGTCTTTTTTGTAATTTCTTCCAACGAGACTAAACTAGCACAGTGTGGGATCATTTATTTCCCATAAAGCATGATCATAAAGAATTACTTTACCACAAGAAGATAAAGGTAAATAATCCAATTGCAAAAAGGGCACAGGATGTGAACAGACACTTCAGCAAAGAAGACATTCAGAGAGCAAATAAATACCTGAAGAAATGTTCAAAATCCCTAGCTCTAAGAGAGATGCAAATCAAAACAACTATGAGATATCATCTCACCCCAGTCAGAATAGCAAAATTTAACAGAACAGCAAGCAACAAATGCTGGTGAGGTTGTGGAGAAACTGGAACCCTTATTCACTGTTGGTGGAAGTGTAAAATGGTGCAACCCCTGTGGAAAGCAGTATGGCGCTTTCTCAAAAAGTTGCAAATAAGGGAGCTCTGGTGGCCTAGTGGCAAGACGCTGTACTGCAATCCCAGAGGTAGGCAGTTCAAATCCACCAGATGCTCTGCTGGAGAAGGAGGGGGTAAGCTCCTCCTGTACCAGTCAGATCTGATTTGAAGGTACACGTAAAAATAATTAAAAAAAAATTGCAAATAGAGATCCATTTGACCCAGCAGTTCCACAACTGGGAATAGACTCCAAAGAGACCATAACTGACACCCTAGCAGATATATGCACACCCATGTTTATTGTGGCTTTGTTCGCAATAGCTAGGACTTGGAAACAACCTAAGGGCCCATCAACAAGCGAAAGGATAGAGAAGCTGTGATATATTCACACAATGGAATACTATGCTGCATTGAAAAACAAGGAACTCATATAATATTATTCAAAATGGGTGACTCTGGAGGACATTATGCTGAGTGAAGTATCTCAGTCACAAAAGGACAAATACTGCATAGTGCCACTGTTGTGAAACAGGACTGACATCATGTTTGGGGGGAGACTGAGAAAGATGGGTTCAATAATGTCTACTGCATTGAAACAGATGAGGGAGAAAACGGTTTAAAAGGGATATGTGATTAGGTACTTTTGTCATGACAGGAGTCCAGAGCAAAGGCTGCATAGTGGAGTGGACCTGGGGGAAGGGATTATAAAACAATGAAAGAATTTTTCTTTTACTTATTCTAAGAGGGTAGTGTACTGGGGGGAAGGGTTGGGAGGGGAGACAATGAATGAATGGAAATCCAAAGTCTCTGTAAATTTTCAATGAAATAAATTATTAAAAAATAATAATAATAATAATAATTACTTTACAAAACCCCCTAAGGGTTTCATCAATTTTTCTGAGGAACTCTTTTAATAGTTTTACTAGCCAAACCACTTTTTAATCTCATCTTGTCATTCTTGTAAATTTCAATACAACTCTTGATTGACCCAACTCTGAGAGTCGTTACACAATAGAACTGTGAGTGCTTCAAGCGGATTTTTTTTCCCATTTTTTTTAAGCTGATTTTTAAGAAACCTTCCACCTACTTGATAAAATCTTGAATCTTTTACAACACTGGCTATTTTACTTTGAAGTGAACACTGATTTTATTTTTTGTTAGCAACAAAATGTCAGACAAAGATTACTAAAACTGAGATGCTAATGTTAAGCCAGGTCAGTACGGAGCTCCTACACTGGTAAGGAGTTGTGCTACAATCCCAAAGGCATGCTGTTCAAGTCTACTAGCTACTTCACAGGAGAAAAACAGCAAGTAACTGCCTCTGAAAACCCACTAAAAAGTCAGCTATGGTCGGTAACAATAGCACACAATTTTATGAGTCATCTGTTCATTAGTCAGTATTCCAGGGTTATGAGGACATTTGCTTCGCAAGCATCAATAATGTACTTGAATACTAAGAGCATCCCTCTGGGTTCTCTAACTTCACCAAGTTTCGCAACCATGATTACCGTTTCTTACCCAGTTTATACTCGTCATTACAACCTTGACTTCGTAAACGCCTAATCAGTTCCAGTTTAGCTAGATGTGGTCCACGAAGACGGCGAGAACTTTTAGATTCTTCTGCTATGCGATCTTCTATAAACTTCACAGCCTCTTCTGCAGAATAATGTACTTCTCCTTCTAAAGAGCTACACAGAAACACATGAAAAGGAATTTTGTGATTATGCTATCTTTCTCAAGTTCATAGACAAACTAAATTATTTTAAGAAATTAAAAGGTACACAATGTAAAATAAAACATTCTCATAATAACCATAAAGCAATATATGTAAGAACAGACCTGTAAATATATTATGAAAAATAAGATCTACTTCTTGTTTTGGTATTTGATTACTGCAGTGACTAACCACCTCTACCTGTTTCTTAACTATTAGTCTCTCCTTGTCTGTAACAAGAGGAAAGAATTCTAAAGATGTACTGCAATGATTAGACCAAAAGCCTAATGGATCATGCAGACGTCAACTTCCACAGCACCAAGACCAGAAGAACTAGATGATGCCTGGCCAGCACTGTTAACAACTCTCAAAGGGATCATAACAGAAGGACCTGGAGAGAATGGCAGTAAAGGAAGAATAAAACGCAAAGGCCAGGAAACCTGTTCCAACAGAGACTAGTGGAACTCCCTGAGCTTATGTCCTCAGTTTGCTCATCAAACCCAGAACAAGACACAGCAGTATGCTTCAATTCTTAGTCATCCCTTAGCCAGGCGTGCCCAGCAACAAGTGTTACCAGCACGACACCAAGGAGGCATGCCTTAGATAACCCACCACAGAAGGACAGAGTCCTACTTGCCCAAGGATAAAGAGCTGAAGCAGGAAAGGGCAGAATCAAAGGATTAATGAACATCCGAATTACAGAGGGGAAGGGGGGAAGTGCAGTTACAATGTGAGGATTATCATTAATGCCATAAAACAAAATGCAAATGAATAACTGAAGGAAAAATGAACGGTTGTCAGAGGCAGGTGTGAGGACAAATAGGAGTTACTGTTTATGAGGCACCAAGTTTCTGTTATAGGTGATGAAATTTTGGAAACCAGTTTGGTGAGTGAACTGATGTCACTGAATTGTGCACATGAAAACGGTGGCAATGGAAAAGGTTTTGCCACACTCTGCCACAAATGAGGAAACCTACCCAACAAATAGACAAATAAATTTCCTTTTTATAAACCCAAAAATTAAGGCTGATAATGGAGGCAAGCAAGCATCAACTCACCTTGGGTATCTTAAATCTTAATCTATATTTACTTTTAAATCATATTCAATTTATGTATTTTTGGGTGCATAATTGAAAAAAAGAAAAGGAATAAATCAGCAACAATTCAAGTATCTGCGTGTCCATCAATGAGAAGAGGTTTAATGAATTATGGGAAATCTCTAAAATAGTACTGTAAGTACATCTAGCTTCTCAAATGAGACAGTCTATGGGATTTCATCTTCCTTTTTTTAATCAACCTGACCCTATCAGGATACTCCTCTCCCAATCTGTTGTTACGGGTCATCAAGTCACACCTCTGAACTTGGCTCTAACCTGTGCCAACCTTACCTCTGACACACCTACGGTCATTACCCAGTCACTTAATGAATCCAGCTCATCACCCAGGGTCTTCCTCTCTTGCACTGTCCCTCCACTTTCAAGCATGACATCCCTAAGAACTGGTCCCTCCTTGCAATATGCTCAAAGTATGTCAGATGAAGCCTCAGAATCCTTACATCCCAGGCGTAGCCTGTTTTACCCTCTCTATGATGAATTTGTTTGTTCTACTGGCAGTCAATACCACAGCACAGAGACACTGATTCTCCTTCTACCATTCCCTAGTCATTGTCGAGCTTTCTGATGCATACCAAGTAACTGCAAAGACTATGGCCTGGATCAGGGCCATCGGGGTCTCCAGACTAACATAGTTGCTCGTCAGCACTTTGGAGAGGTCTGACAGCAGACTTTCCCAATGCAATTAGTCTTTTAATTCCCTGGCTGCTGGCACCAAGAGTGTTAATTGTGGAGCCAAGCAATCTAAAGTTGTTAAAAATCTCAATCTCTTCACTGTCTATCATGATGCTGCTAATTGGCCCAGTGCTGAAAATCTGAGTTTTCTTGATGTTGAGCTTCAGTCTCTATTTAAGGCTACAGTCCTTGACTTTCTGCAGCAAGCGCTTCAGGTCCTCCAATCTGTAAGTCTGTGTAATGGCAATGCTATGATGGCTATAAAGGTGGATGGAGCTTTTGGACTTTCCTGTGGTTTGGTGCAAAATCCATTTCATGTCTTTAAACTTGTGTATCTGGTGAGCCTCAGAAAGGAGAAAACACCTCTTTTATATTATTGGAAAAGATTTCACACCACCAGGCACAGGCCATGGAGGCTGCCCATGGCATCCTGCTCTGCAGACCAAAACAATGTCTCAGAGGGACTAGGGCTGCAGGGCAAGTGCATCCAACATCACCAGCACCGAGGTCAGGGAGGAGCAACATGGATGACAGGCTGGGGCTGTGTGGCCACTGCCGGGAAGCTAAATAACAGTTATTACAATAAATTGGGAAGAACAGTCATCACACTATTAAGAGTTATTTCTGGGGACTAACATCTATATCATGCATTTCTATACTAATTTTAAAATTTGTTACCATAAACTTGTTTTCATTTTATAAACAAACCTCTTCTTTTGAAAGGGACACCCTGCTGGGACTGAATTCCAGCAGTGTGGCAGGGTCCCAACTGGGACCACATTCAGTGAGACTGTCAACAAAGCTCTTTGCTGCAGCTATAGCAGGCTGCAGAGCACCTCTGTAATTCAGGAAAGAAGACAACTTACTGTTCACCTTCAGCAGGAGGAGTCCAGGCCTCTTCAATCAGTCGAAAGACAGAATCGAAGTAAGTCAGATAGAACTGCCAGTCATCTGAGCTAAAAACAGATTCAGCAATGCACACAGGATTAAACCCAAGCGGTGACATTCACCTGACTGTCTGAACAGTGCTTGCGTCTTTAATGAGAGCACATTCTCTTGTCAGGTTTCCTCTACAGCCCAGAAAGGGCAATGCTTCAGAGGCATTTGCAAAGGAAGCACATTCAAGACCTGGCTCTTGCCGTGAGTGAGATGGCAAGGCCTAAAAAAGCATATTCTTAACAGAAAGCTCCTTAGTGGGGTCAGATGACTGGGCCAAGGGAGGAAAGACCCTCTCTTTAAGGCCACTACTGAATGTAGTGAATTAATGCTTCTCAGCTTTTGATCTGAAGATCACATGAACATCAGCCCCACAGCAGTGTTCCATTACACTTTACTAAAAGATCAATGAATATACATCAAAAACTCCCAACAGGCCTCTCTCCTCTATTTCCTTTCAAGAAGGGAAGCTCATCCTTTTGGGGTTCTAACTTTCTATAAATCTATCCTTATTTACTTCACCTTCAAAAACCAAACCGTAAACAACAAAAAAACCATCAAAAGTGCCCAGAAATGTCACAATTTGGAACTGCAGAAGAGTGGGGTGCGGTGTCACCAGCCCCGTGCCAAGAAGCTGCAGGACTCACTTTTTCAGGAGGAGGCGCCGCGAGAGGGCGTTGCACTCAGGCCACCTGTTCAGCTTCTTGTACATGGCCATGCACTTATTCTCCCGACTCTGAATCTCACTTGTCAGCTTCTCTACAAAGGAAAGTCATCAATGTTGGTAAACGGCATTCATGTCTGCTCAAACAGCAGAACAAAGTCAAGCATGAGAAGAACAATACCTCACGGTCTTACTACCTCAGAAAACGGGCAGCTATCAGATATAAGGAAGCTCTAGTGGCTCAGTGACAAGCAACTGTGCTGACCACTCAAAGGTATGCAGTTCGAATCCACCAGCTGCTCCAGAGGAGAAAGAGGAGCAATCTCCTCCTATGCAATGTACAACCTCCAGGAAACCGCTGGAGGGTCAGCTATGGGTCAGTTCTAACTCAATGGTACACAACAACAACGTCAGATCAAAACTCTTCTCTTACTCAAGACTGCTTTGTGGAAATTTAAAACGACAAAATTCTGATACCTTTAGAACCACTTCTGTTGTTCAAGACAAAAGGATTCAGAACATGTGCTGAATGATCTGGTGTGTGAAGATACAATTACTCTATGGAGATACAGTGATCTGTGGAGATACAGTTCCCATTGGTAGATGCTACTGCCATTAAGTTCTGCTGCTGAGCTGAGCTGACAATGACTCCACGTGACAGCAACTCCCCAGTGCTCTTCTAGGCTGTCACTTTCACAGGTACATTCCCAGCACTTCTTCCTGCAGAGCTGCTAGACAGGTGTGAGATGCTAACCTTGGGTTAGCAGCTGAGTCCTTAACAGGGCACATGAGCTCTCCCCCACCCCCTGCTGCCCACAAACAGCATTTAGAGGCTAGTGGAGTCTTGAGAGACTTTCCATACTAAGATTCCAAACTGTCCAATAGGCTGGAGTGAGGCAAGCAAAATGAAAGGTTAGGAAGAAGATTTAAAAGGTTCTGATGAATCAAATTCTTTGGAAGAGAAAAATGAGTACTGGGGTTCTAGTTGATAGTGAGAAGCTGGCAGTTCTACCAATTTGTCCCTCACTGGTAGAAAGGTGAGGCTGTTTGATTCTATAAAGGTTTACAGTCTTGGAAACTCTATGTCGCAGCTCTACAGAGGTCCTACCAAGGCCCTACCAAGTTCCTAGAGAGGTCCTACAGAGGTCCTACCAAGGTCTGAGAGAGGTCCTACAGAGATCTGATAGACGTCCTACAGAGGTCCAACAGAGTCACAATGAATCAGAATCAAACCAAGGCCAACAGGTTATAGTTCTGACCAAATCAAAGTTACTATGTATTTTTAGAAAAGCTTAGTAGAGAAAAGATTCTGGAAGTTACACTGTTATTTGCCTGCAGAGAAACTAAATTTCACTACTCACAGAATAACAATCAGAGGAAAAAAACCAGAAAGGCAGATCTGTAACCATCCTTTAGGAGGGTAAGTTCAGAAGCTGTGGTATATTCTCACAATGGAAAACTATGCTGTACTGAAAAACAAGGAATTCACGAAATACTATACAAAATGGGTGACCCTGGAGGACATTATGCTGAGTGAAATATCTCAGTCCCAAGAGAACAAGTACTGCATAATGCCACTGTTGTAAAATGGGACTGACAATGAGGTTGGAGGGAGACTGAGAAAGATAAGGTAAATTATGTATACTGCAGTAAAACAGATGAGGGAGAGAACGGTTTAAAAGGGATACATGATTAGGTATTATTGTCATGACAGGAGTCCAGAACGAAGGCTGCATGGTGGAATGGACTTGGGGGGAGGGATTGTATAAGAATGAAAGAATTTTTCTTTTACTCTTCAAAATGAAGGCTGCATAGTAGAGTGGACTTGGGGGGAGGGACTGTACAACAAAGAAATAATTTTTCTCTTACTTTTCAAAGAGAAGAGCGAACTGAGGGGGAGATTGGGCAGGGGGAAAAGTGCAACAATGAATGAATGGAAATCCAAAGTCTCTGTAAACTTTCATTAAAATTAATTAAGTAAAAATTAAATAAATGAAGAAAAGGGGGGGAGAAGGCAGACCTCATAAAAGATTTCTTCCTCTACTGTATGTACTTACCTGCTAAATGGTATTAGTTTTCTTTTATGACTGCACATAGTCTAATAAAAGACATAACTACTTGTAGGAATCAGTGTTTTGTAATGATCGTAACTAAAGAGATGAGCTATTGACAGACAGCTACTCCCCCAATTACAAAGGCAGTCCTTGGCAAAGCAGTCACTGTGCTACCAGGAATTTCTCTAAAGATCATACAAGATGTGGAAATACAAGTATTTTTGTCCTAAGTTTTCAAAACAGGAAAATGATTAAATTATTTATGAAGTTAATAGAAATTTGTTTTTAAACCAAAAAATGGTATTTTCAGGACAGTGAAAAAAGAGCTAAATAAGCGAGCTCTGGTGGCCTAGTGGCAAGAAGTTGCACTGCAATCTGAGAGGTAAACAGTTCAAATCCACCAAATGCTCTGCTGGAGAAGGAGGAACAATCTCCTCCTGTACCAGTCAAATCTGATTTGACGGTACACACACACACACACACACAAATAATAAAACTAAAATAAAATTTAAGAAAATTAAAAAAAAGAAAAAAGAGCTAAATATCTATAAAATGCTCTTGCAGAAAAATCAGTATGAAAAAGACAAACCAAATTCTTAGAATAAAAGGGTAAAGAAAAGATCAAATAATAAATAAATAGATAGATAGATAAATAAATAAATTAATGAAAGAAAGAAAGGAAGGAAGGAAGGAAGGGTGCTTTGGTGCCTCATGGCAAGTGGCACCAAAATACCCAAGGCGTGCAGTCTGAATCCACCAGATGCTCTGCTGGAGAAGGAGGGGCAATCTCCTCCCCTGTCAGGCAGATCTGACTCATCGGTACACAACAAGTAACAAAAAAATAAAGTAACTGGCTAGTGACTCAAAACAAATGGAAAAAAAAACAAAACAAAAAAACAAACTACCACCCTACCTAAAGAAATAAATGATCATTCTAATTAAAGAAATAAAAAATTGTAAGGTCTTCTCCACCTATCAAATTCAAAAGAATCAACAGTATAAAAGGAACATTTGCACTAGTTTGATAAGTGAACAAAGAAATCTGCCCTATTACACAGTGCGGGCACATCACACAGTGACGGTACACACAATTTTTGGAATGCTTATAGGAGGGCAAAGTCATTGGTGGCGAAGATGCTCCTTATAAAAGATGTATCAAGAAGGACTGATCAGTGCTCGCTTCGGCAGCACATATACTAAAATTGGAACGATACAGAGAAGATTAGCATGGCCCCTGCGCAAGGATGACACGCAAATTCGTGAAGTGTTCCATATTTAAAGAAAAAAAAAAAAAAAAAGAAGGACTGATCAAAGAAATTCTCCACCTTTATACTCTACTGAATGCAAAGTATTGACCTGATCATTTTTATGTCCCATCAAGTCTGAACTGACCCACAGAAGACATTCCAGCGGGTTTCTAAAGGCAGTTAATCACCCGGGAGGGGACTGCCTATCTTTCTTCCGCAGAGCAGCTGATGGATCTGAATCGCATCCCATTGTGTTGGAACCGTAACATTTTACCACCAAAGGTACCAAAGCTCCCTAAGGTACCGACATACTGATAAGTTAAAAAAAATACACAGTAAAGGTCACAAACTCAAAACCATTCATTGGACAGGCAGGTAAAAAAAAAATGTTTTATATCTACAGAATTCACATCCTGATCAGAAACATTCACCTATTTAAAAATAAAGACTGCTAATTGAGTAAGACTATTTTATGGGCCAGACATCCATGCAGAATAAATATGTTACAGTGAAGGGGGGGAAGGAAGAGGAAGATCAATACAGCTTTAGAAGATATGCTGAAGAGACGAACAGGGATCTAGAGAAGGACCTGGAAGAGCGGTCTAAGGATATAGCGCACAGTTTCTCACATTCCGTGAGTTTTCTGAAACTATAAATTATTTTCTACTAGAATCTGATACAGGCCATGGTCTTTGCAATCACTTGTTATACGTCAGAGAGCTGGACAATGACTAAGGAGGATAGAAGGAGAATTGATGCCTTAGAGCCGTGGTACTGGAGTATTGAGGGTATCATGGACTGCTAGGAAAACAAACAGATTCATCCTGGAAAGGGTCAAACCGGGCGACTCCTTGGAGGTAAGGATTCTGAGGTCGCATCTAACATACTTTGGATATGCTGTAAGGAGGGACCGGTCCTTGGAGAGGGACATCATGCTTGGGAGGGTGGAGGGACAGCGCAAGAGGGGAAGGCCCTCTATGAGGTGGATTGATTCAGTGACTGGGGTAATTGGGATGGGAGTGTCAGAGACAGTGCGATTGGCACAGGACAGAGCGGAGTTTAAGGGTCACTATGAGTAGCAAGCAACTTGACGACACATAACAACAACAACAACAACAAGAATATATTCAAAATTTTCAACACAGAGAATATTCTGGAAGAATACAGCAAATTGACTGCAAGTGACTTTTATGTCTTTGTGTAAAGGAAAACTGTCTTCGTAATAAACACGTCATATATAAATAGAGGGGAAGGGGGGATCTATTAGGAAAATTTTTTTCTTTACCTCCTAACTTCCCTCTGATAACATCCAAGGCTTCCTGGTACTTTCCCAAACGTTCCAGGATCATAAAATAAAGTTCAACCTTATAGAAAAAAGACAAACAAGAAATGCAGTCACTGAATTTTTCCAGAAATAAAAAGACAGTCATCTGAATGTTTTTAAAAAGTTATCTAACTATAAAACACTCCCTTCAATTAAGAGTAAACTGGCAGTAAGACTCAAATGGCCTAAGTTTGATCCCACTCTTAAACCTCCCACGTTGGAGAACTCGGCGAAAAGCCCAGTGTTCACGGCACCAACACCAGCACTCTCAAAGCTCCACGCTGACAAAGGAAACCAACAATTCAAAACACAGCCATGCAAACTCATTACTGGCCTTAAATGACTCACTTCAGCCTCGGCTTCAATTTTGTCTTCTTTCACCATTTTTTCTACCATTCTTTCAGCAAGGGGCAGAAACATTGTTTTTGAAAGGTTCTCATCCCGTGCTGATATAGACTAAAGGAGGAGAAAAAAATCAAACACCACATTGAATTCTTCCCATAGATGATTTGCATTTACCAAGCAGACAATTACTGTGAGGTCCATACATACTAATGAATCCACTACATCCAATGACAGGCCTATCTGAACCTGCCACGTGGATACCAGTGATTTCTTACAAGACAGTTTCTTCCTAAAGAGCCATCCTCCTCAGCTTGCTGGAAACGCTGTACTTGTACAGCCTAGTCTTCCCTCTGTCCTCACAAAAACCACAGGAGATGAGCACCTCCGTTCTGCAGGAACACCACAGAGCTTCGAAGGGAGAAGTGATAATAGGGTCCCCCACTCCAATGACCTTCACCAACCAACTACACTTGCTTAAAAGACAAACCTCAAGTCAAAATTTCTCAAACATTTTGAGGATCACATCTGCTTAAACAACCTAACATTGGATGGATGTAAAATCCAGGTGGAATACGGTCCATGCTGCACCCAAATAAACTGCCACAGCAACCCATTAAGAATTTTAAAAATCCCCAACTTAAAAAGCCCAGTGACTATATCTACAGTTGCCATTTGATAAATATCATGGGTCCTTATTCCAAACAGTCAGAAAACCACATTAAAGATAGCATCTTAACTATATATGAAAAAAACAAATGTCAGCCCCATTCTGAATGTCATACTCACTTGCATAATTAAGCTCATCACAGACCAAAAGTAGTATGGGTTTTTGGGGACAATCTTATATAGAGCCATGCCAGCCTGAAAGACAGAGAGCCAAAACACTTAATTTAGAAAACACTGTGCAGAGGGCAAGTGGGCGACACAGATGTGTGAAGAGAACCCCCCTGGAAGAACAGCAGCGTATTTACAAACCCCAGTCAGTGCAAACAGCTACTGACGCGATGGAGACAGTAGCAAAGGTCATCACAGAGAAAGCTTTTTACGACATTATGATTGCTAGTCACCTATAAAGCACAAATTTCTAAAAAGCACATTTGCAACCCAATATATTTCCAATAGATCTCCAAAAATGCAGTATTCTGACTTGTAAGGAGACATTAAGAAACATATTTAACCTAAGAAGATTTCATACTAAGCAAATAGAGTAAATCAAATGTACAAAAAAACATCCAGAGAGTGACACTGAAACTTCAAAATTAGACTGCAATAACGTAATTTCAAAGATAACTCACAGGTTAGAAAAATAGGAGGGTTTTTAAAAAAAAAAATTAACCCTCATTGTGAAAGAAGGGGGTAGCAATAAAGAACAAAACAGACCTACTCCCATGTAACAGAGAATCTGTCCAAATCAGCCCACAGGTAACTGTTACCAAGATATGAAAAAGAACTGATTATCATAAGACAATTTTGTTTTTTTAATATTTTGCCTTCTATCAAACCAATTCAGGAATCACCTGTAATCTTGACTAAGTAGAAAAAAATGTCTACTCCTGCCAATAATACAAAGACTGAACTCCTGTCTCAAAAGAATTTAAAGCCAAAGGAAGAGATAAGACAAATACACAAATAACCAAAATAAACTTGGTAACAAAAACAAACATCCTAGAACCAGGGAACGCTGGTTGAGGTCTTTTCTCTCCGGTTCTTTTAAGGGAGGGCAGGGAAGAAACTCAGCTATACCAACACCACAGGAGCTGAACAATTAAAGACAAAGTACAAAGACACTGAAGGTGCATGTAAACATTTTCAAGTCAGTGAATCAATTCTAAAACCAAAGCCACTCCCACTGTTACTGAGTCCATTCCAGCTGGCCCGTTCTGTTGGGTCCTGAGGCTGCAAGTCCTTATGGGAGGAAATTGCTTTTCCTTCCCCAGAGCAACGGGTGGAATGAAAGCATCAATCTCTCCATTAACAGCACAGCACTGTTCCTAAACCACCAGGACTCCCTGAAGCAATGCTGTGAAGGGAAAAAATGAGTCTGGACAAAAATATCAAAGAAAAAAGTCAAATGGCACATTTTTACAAAATGTCCAGTAGGACATCTGGTAGAGATAAAAGGCCAAGATTAGTAGGAGGGAAAGGGCTGAAGGGTGGACTGAAGAACTTTGGATGTAACATAGTCAAAGCAAATCCATATGGACTAAAGGAGTGGTAAGTACTAGTTTATACTCTTCTGAGAAGACTAGTTTAACCATACTGTGTAGCGACAGAGTAGGAACAAAGAAGGAACGGAAAGAATGAGGAATTAACCCTGGATGAAGTAGAGAACAGAGACTCGAAAAATATTCTTGAGACAGAATCACAATGATGTGGCGATAAAACAGACAGACAAAAATGTATAAAGAAAAATATTTCTCTTAATTAACTTTTTATTGTGATTTGAGTCAAAGTTTATCGAGCAAACCGGTTTTCCATTCATAACCATTTTGTGACATGGATTACAAGGCCGACAATGTAACGCTGCTCTCGCTGTTCCCTCCCGGCTTCATTTCCCCATTTTTATTCTCTCTTCCTCCTTATCTGCTTCCTGAGCTGGACACTTGGGTGAAGGCTGCCTTTTGGATCTTAGGTGGTAATTCTTCTAAGGGGTGTGTTCTTGATGATTACCTTATAGATCCAGCTACTATCGGGCAAGAATGATGGGGTTTCATCTCATGGACTGTGGGCACGCTACCAGGAGCCACCAGTCCCTAGAAAAAGACACCATGCATGGAAAAGTAAAGGGTTGGCAACGGAGAAGATCTTCAATGAGATGAACTAACACAGGAATTGCAACAATGGGTTTAGGCACAGAAAAGTGACCATCAATTCACTAGCACCTAACAACAACATTGTGTGGATGAAAGCTGAACCACAGTTTCCCCAGAGGATTAACCAAGAGTCTGTCTTGAGGCTCTGTTAAGCCAGAAAGTTTCTACTGTGACTCTGAGTTTTGCTCCATATTTTTCTCCCACTCTATCTAGCATGATAGAAAGTGAAGACACAGAGACTGTTAACATTTTCTGATTGCTTGGCTCCACAATCAACACTCTCAGCACCAGCAGCCAGGAAATCAAAAGACAAAGTGCATTGTGAAAGTCAGCTGCCAGGGACCTCTCCAAAGTACTGAAGAGCAATGATGTCAGTCTGGAGACTAAGGTGTGCCTGATCCAGGCTATAGTCTTTGCAATTACTTGTTATGCATCAGAAAGCTAGACAATGACTAGGGATAACAGAGAATTGATGCCTTTGAGCTGTGATGCTGGAGAAGAGTATTGAATATAACATGGACTGCTAAAAGCACAAACAGGATTGTCCAGGAGATAGTGAAACCAGCCTGCTCCTTGAAGGCAAGGATTCTGAAGCTTCATCTGACATATTCTGGGCATGTTGTAAGGAGGGAATAGTCCTTGGGAAAGGAACATCATGTATGGAAGGGTAGAGGGACAGTGCAAGAGAAGACCCTGGATGAGATGGATTGATTCTGTGACTAGGGTAATGAGGGTAGGTGTGTCAGAGACAATAAGGTTGGCACAGGATAGAGCCATGTTCAGGGATGTTGAACACAGGGCTGCTATTAGTCGCAAGTGACTGGACAGCCCGTAACAAAAAAACCAACTATCAGGACTGTGATCCCTTCCTCTTTTATTTTTTCTAATTATAATTTTTAATGAACGTTCAAAGAAAGTTTGGATTCATTCACTAATTCATTGTTGCACACTTTCCTTCCTACCCTCCTCCCAGATCACTTTTTAAAAAAAGAATACTTATTCATTGTTGCATAATTTCCTCCTTCTCTCTAGCACCCCTCTCCTCGTCCACTTTGCTATGCACCTCTTCCCTGGACTGTTGTCATACACCTAATCATATCTTCCTTTTAAACAGTTCTTTCCTTCATCCATTCCAGTACAGTGTTCATTATTTATCCCTTCTGTTCTTAATCTTTCCCTGAACTCATGTCAGTCCTATTTTATAACAGTGGTGTTACGGAGTATTTGTCCTTTTGTGACTGAGATATTTCACTCAGCATAATGGTCCCCAGTGTCTCACCTATGTTGTGTAATATGAGTTCCTTGTTTTTCAGAGCTGCGTACTATTCCATCAGGAATATAACAGTTTTTCTATCCATTTGTTTGTTGATGAACATTTAAGGTCACTTCCATCTCTTTACTATCATAAATAACACAGCAATAAGTCTGGGTGTGTATAGATCTACTTGAATGGTGGTTCTGGTTTATTTAGGGGATATTCCTAGTAGTGTAATTACTGAGTCAAATGGTATTTTTATTTCCAGCTTTTTGAGAAAGTGCCATACTGCCTTCCATAGTGGAGAATCGAATCATTTTACATTCCTACCATCAGCTAAAAAAGGTTCCAATCTCTCCACAACCTCACCACAATTTGTTGTTTTCTACTCAGTTGAACTTTGCTATTGCTGCTGGGGTGAGATGATATCTCATAGCTATTTTTACTTGCACCTCTCTGATAGCTAGGGATTGTGAACATTTCTTCATGTGTTTGCCACGTGAATGTCTTCTTTGGTGAAGTATCTCTTCATATCTTACGCCCATTTTGCAATTTGGTTGTTTTCCTTTATTCTTGCTGAGTTGCTGGAGTATACTATAAATTTTAAATCTGAGTCCCTTCTTGAGTAATGAGTCACTACCAAGTATTTTTTTCCCAGTCTGTGGCTTTCCTTTTAGCCGTTTTTTGACGTGCGTAGGGATTTGATTCTTAGAAGGTCCCACTTATCTATTTTGTTCTCTCCTGGTTGTCGGTGTGATCCCGTCAGAGCAGTCAGTACTGGCAGCTGGATACCACCTAGCTGTGCTGATAGAGAAAATTTCTGATGATGGAAAAGTCTGAGAAACATGGGCCTAAAGCTGCAAGTTCTATGACTCTGAGAAGGGAAATTTAAATCACAGAAAAAAGAAAGTCAAGTCACTCTGAGAATGACTAACTTTCTTCATTGTTGTTGTTGTTGTTGCTGTTATGTGCCATCAAGTCGCCTATGACTCATAGTGACCCTATGTACAAGAGTTCTGAACCCTGCCCTGTGCTGAGCCAGTCTCACTAACTTTAACACATCTATTCCCACTGCCCCAGTTACCCTATCAATCCATCTTATCCAGGGTCTTCCTCTCCTACTGCTGTCCCTCCACCCTTCCAAGCATGATGCCCTTCTCCAAGGACTGGTTCCTCCCAGCCACATACCCAAAGTATGTGAAATGGAGCTTGAAAATCCTAGCCTCTAAGGAGAAACTTGGTTTCACCCTCTTCAATACAGACCTATTTGGTTTTCTGGAAGTCCATGGTATGTTCAGTGCTCTCCTCCAGGACAATTTAAGGCATCAATTCTTCTTCTGTTATCCTTAGTCAATGCCCAGTTCCCTGATAAATAGCAAGTAAATGTGAAGACCATGGCCTGGATCAAACACACGTCTCTAGACGGACATCATTGCTCTTTGGCACTGTGAAGAGGTCGCTGATTGCAAACTTCCCCAATTAATTAGTCTTCTGATTTCTTGACTTCTGGTGTCAAAAAAGTATTGATTGTGGAGGTGGGCAAGCTGAAATTGTTAATGACCTCAATCTCTTCTCCATCCATCATGGTACTGCCAACGGACCCAGGGTCAGAATCTTTGTCTTCTTGATGTTAAGCTTCAATCCATGCTGAAGACTACAATCCTTGACCTTCTGCAGAAAAACTTCAGGACCTCCTCAGTTTTGGCAAGCAAGGTGGTATCATCTACATAACGCAGGCTGTTGAAGAGTTTTCCTCCAATTCTGATTTCACATTCCTCCTCATAAAAATCAGC